AAGTCCTGGACTCATGAGTGGCGATGCAACACTCCGGTTGGCCATCATAGAACTATCCGAGTTGGCAGGGCTGAGAAGAGCATTTAGAGAGTTGGCAGGTGGGTGACGGGGAGAGAGTGGAAGGCCCGATTGCAGCGCATTGAACTGACGCGGCGAAAGGGGAACCGGGACCGCCTGAGGTTGATCGCCTGCTGGTGTTTCAGATGGCGTCGCTTGTTGTTTGCTCTTGCTTTCGCTTTTCTTCTTCTTCGACTTGCTTCTAGCTTCCTCGTCTTTCGAATACATAGCTTCGCGGACTCGATCATCTTCCTCCCGAGTCTTCCTCCTTCCCCGCAGCTCCACAACAGGTATCTCGTCCACTTCCAATGTATCATCGTAGTCTGAATCAACATCGTCGCCGTGCACAGCTTGGTGGAGATGTGCGCTAGTCGTAATGGGTTTCGAGAGGTTGAGCGGAGCTGGCGGGGCCTTGCGCAGAGGTTGTGGAGTCTTTCTAGGAGGTGATTCGAAACCGTCACCACCAATGACAGGCGTGGCCTGGATCAGCGATATCTGTGGAGGCTGGAGCTGTGAATCACTTGGGACTATCGTCACATCTGAGTTATTCTGGGGAGGCGTAGTCGGCTTCGAGGCCTGTTCTGGAGGTTGAACAGCATCACCGGGCTGCAGCAAGGTGGCGTCAAGGCCGAGACCTTTGCTACCAAGGCTAAGGGGTTGTACGGAATAGTCGGTGGGCGAGTTCACGGCTGACGACAGATTCGATGCGGTAGAATGAGACGGCGAGGTCGCTAATTGCGAGTCTGGTATGAGATGTGGCGCGGGGTGCTCTTGTGTCAAGGGCGATGTCTTGTGCTCCCCGGCTTTGGAGTCGCTGGGCCTAGCGGGCTCGCCAGCTGGCTCACTGAGGGCTGGCGACTGGCTAGTCTCGCGTTCCACGACCGAGTCGAAAGTGTCGGACTTCTGTAGTGAGCCAGGACCTGGTGGTACCTGTTCAGCATACTCCTTGAACTTCCTGCGGTAGCGGTCCTTGTCCTTCAATGCGCGCTCGAGATCTTTCTGCAGCCCAATGATCATGGACCGTTGCTTCTCGACCAGTCGCCAGAGCTGCGCATTGTGACTGGACGTGTTCTGCTTCTCCTTCCACAATGCCAGCATCGCAGCCTCTGGTGAGCCTGCTGTGGCTATCAGAGCGGCCATATCTGGTGGGTTCGCCGTGCTCGTATCTTGCGACGGTCGCGTCGCATGGTTGGCAGGAGGGCGATTCTGAGAGGCAGTCGAAGATAGCGACGATGCTGCTGAATCTATTGAAGGGTTGCGGACAGGCACCGTCGGTCTCGTCTCAGGTCGGTTCGGCCGCGATGGTGGAGGCATGGTGACGGGTGACGCTGGTGGAGAAATTCCAGCCGAGGACAGCGTGGGCGACGACACCTGTCGGAGTTTTGCATACGCAGACGGCCTCGAAGGCTGCGTGAAATTTGGGGTGGGAACGTTGGGTGGTGTAGGCGGATGCGCTGGCTTGGTTGGGCGAATGGGCGAGGTATGATGTTGCTCCTCCGCAAGCAATGCGTCAAGCTTCTCGCGCGGACTGCGCGGTTCGTCAAAGCGTGGTGAGTCTTGATAGGACAACTGCTGATATGAGAGCCCGTTATTGCCAGGTGGGTACAGCGGACTCGGGACGGGCTTGCGACGTGCTCGGATTTGGTGTTGCTCGTCCGCAGTGGTCGGCACGTTGTGTGGGCGCGTCGAATCGTCGCGAAGGCTGCGAATACTCTCGACGAGCGACGGCGAGGATAGAGAGTGGGAAGGCGACGACGGCTGGTGCTGAGGGATGTGATGTGCCGCTGGTCTTTCCTGAAGCATATGCATGTCTGTATTCGTCGCCGCCATGTTCAAGTCTCAAACGGGCTAGCCGACGACCGGGATATCTGGTCGACAGTATAGCAGATAGTTAGTGGGGATTAGTGTTTCGGTGACGCTCTGAGTGTCTGGTGAATCCAAAGCTGCCACGCTCAGCAGTCTCGTCAGCATCTGGGCGTCCCGCGCAGCTTGAGACAAGTCTCCGTCAGAAGGAGCAGCCGGAACAGAAGAGATTTGGGCTTGTAGACTGGTGGATTCTCATTCGGCGCCATAACCGCCCTTGTAGGAGCCGGGCCAAATTCAAGCCTGGTTCCTGCAGCAGAAGCGAGCCCTGGAGCCCTTTGTCTCCATGATCGCCTCCGTAGGCCTTGATGGCTGCGTCCCCTCACGTTTGAGATATGCCCAAAGCCATTTGCATCCTAGTCGACTACATGCCGGTGTAGGCGCCAAAAGTGTGCTTTGGGCTTCCCATTGGTCTAGCCCTGTGGCTTGCTAGCCGTAATCATCTATGAGCCATCATCCACTGACGGTCTTATGCAGAAACGACATGTCCGCGTGGTCTGCTGTCGCTGGTGCCCGCAGTCAAGCTGACAGAAGCCTGACGAGCCGAATTTTGCAAAATACCCACCCATTGGCTGGAAAGTAGATGATTTGACATACGAGTCTTGAGGGTGTATTGGCTCGACGGCTCAGTAATTTGCGATTCATGGTAGACTCGAAGGTGCATTTCCGCTAGACATCTGGCCGTCAATTGGGTCCACGGGTCGTAATCATGTCTCTGGCGCACGGATAGCGTTCGAGTTCAAGGGCTGGGTCGCTGCAGCGAGAAGGATTCTCCAGGCCGAATCGAGATTAGGCCTGTCGATCAGCTGCCATTGGCCCAATCCCTCGTGGCTGAATCAGCCGCAAGCCATAAACTTTCAAAGACGAACGCTGTCCGTGTGCCATGGTCAGCAAAAGCGCCCAGGTCATCCGCTTTGCACCGCGGCCGGATATTCGAGCATCTCAACAGCAAACACAGTCGCTTGAGACGCTCATCAAAATCGTACGATTCTTACCGACCTGCGATTACATCTGAAACTCATCCGCCGTCAAGCGAAGTGTGCTGCAGGGAGCCGCTGATAGCTCAACGACTAGCCCTTAACAGTCGACGCATGGTGATCACAAGCTGCACCTATGCTGCACGACTAAGCCAAGGGCTAGACTAACAATCCTTCTTTGCGACACTGTATCAGGGGTAACTCGAGTGGAAAAGGCCAAGAAACGGCTTTTGTTTTTCTGTTTCTGCACTAGTACCCGCAACGTGCCGTCAAGATGAAGTGTGACCGAAATCTGGAACGGATATCATCATTTGTACGACTAACGATGCGCGGCGCAAGCAGCTCTTCTTCGCGCCTCGAGCACCGTTCATCTTTCGACAGCATTCACACCCCCAACGTATGCAGGGTCAACCTGAGGCAGACGCGATCCCAGAGAGGTGGCGAGCATGATCCGGGACAGCTGTTTCCACGCGGGTTGCGTCAATCTGCAAGCCCTCCCCATGTCTAATTATACTTCGCATATCAAAGTTCCGAAAGGCAATGCCGAAGTATTGTGATCTTCACCACTGTACTTCCGCACTTTGCTTCCTTGCGGAAAACAAACCATCCAAGCTTAGGTAGATTGACACCGATTCTGGGTAGAGGCAAACATAGACTTTTCTACCATGCTCACACACAGAAATGGTTGATGAATCCTGTCTTTGCTACAAACAGTAATCGCCTTTGGCGGTATCAATGCATATGCATGCATGTGAGAGCTTCCGTTCGGCTTGCAAGCTCCCGTCCGACCGCTTCGTTACCGCCCAGGCCTACAGTTCCCGCCGTCAAACGTGGAGGAAAATAGGCCGGTTGGAGAGACATTGCCAAGCTGGACGTCAATAACGCCTATCGGAACTTAGAGATTGACTGCGCCATGGAGCAGATGCTGCTTGGGTATCCTAGCATAACTAACCCTTGCATGGCGGGTAAACGTCTATGATAACTCCCTCAAAACGTTTCGGCTTCCGCCCAGCGCGGAAGCACGTCCGCCCGCTTCCAGACGCTGCTTTCAAGGTCGTCAAGAATGTGTCGAGATCCGATTCGGTCTTTGTATGAGCAACGAATCTTTGTCTGGCATGACGTACCCGGTCTTCGTGACATTCATTCCAATGTGCGGGCAGGAAAGGTACGCTGACCAAATGGTAACTAAGTGGTTGGTCGACGTAGAGTACACCGTGTATAAGCTGGATTAGAGGTTCTGAGTAGATATTAGCAGTATATCCTTCTGAATATAGAAGCTGGTTTGATTGACTACTCGCTTTTTGGTAGGTATTCTGTTTCGACACCAACGGTGCACAGTCGCCATGCTTGCAAAACAAGGTAATATGTTGAGCAGACATATAATGCCATTATCGCAGCATTGGGCCCCGGGTCCACGGCCACTATGTCTGCAAGGAAGCTCACAATCTGCATGGTTATAAAATCGTGATGGCTAGTTAGATGCCATAGACTAGATCAGGAGGAAGCATCTGATTTTGGGTTCATGTTGTGACATGAATGAGACTGCCAATGTCCTGATGTTCCGCACCGGCCTTGACAGCACCATAACGGATACTGTGGCCTAAGACTAGCCGGTATTCCAGGGCAACAGGCCTTACCCCAGAGTTCCACATTCTTGTTCTACTGTTCGAGCTTCAAGGCAGATTACTGTGTAAGCTCTTATGGTATATCCTCAACAGTAGGTACAGTCTATCAAAAACCAGCTCCTTCGTGGACATCATTTTCGATTAACATGTTTGTCAGTCTTCTGCTTGCTACTGTCATTACTCCAAACANGTTTCGAAGAATTTTGAACCAAGGCAAGGGGCTTTGTAGATTGCAAATTCTGAACGATGGATGACAGCCTAGTTCTGCGAGAGATTTCCCATGGCCAGTACTTATAGCTGTTTATCGTCGAAACATGGTCCCGCTCTCTATGTGGAGATCAAGATGTACCCTGTGGTAACTAGAGTAATGTTGAGTCGTTGACGTGCTGTATATTCTCTCCAAACGTGTATCGTGGACAACATTTTATGCCCGCATACTGTACAATATTATACACTCGTATGTATGTTTCCTTCCACCTTACAATCCCACTCTTCCTGTACCGCCTCGTTCCATCTTGTTCAACCGTCGTGCAGTTGCAATCTATGACCATTAGCCCATATGCCCACCACAATCGTAGCCCCGCCACGAGGATTGAACGTACCTGTGTCCTTGTTCTCTGACCCCTCACAGGCAAACCCATAGCATGCCTTCTTCCACGATATGTGCCCATATCCCTCAATCTCCGAATATCGTCCTGCACCTGCCGCCGCAAATCATTCTCAATCTTCATGTTCGCCAGCTCGGCCGTCAGATCCATGACTGTCGCATTTTTCAGACTGCCGACTTTCGCCCACGGGTGGATGTAGAATTTCGCCATGATGCGCTGCGAGACCGAGGGCCCGATGCCGAAGAAGGATTCGAGGGACCGCTTGACGAGCGTCGCTTCCGTGAAGCTGAAGCCGTTGATGAACACCTGAAACCGTCAGTGAGTTGCACGCGAGAAGAATTAGGCGGTCTGGTAGCGTACCATGGCGGATCAGCGTTCCGACGGCGAGTTCGCGTGTTGGAGTGTCAATTGTCTTGTCTGATCTCGAATCTCCAGACTTCCGTTTCTCACTAACCCCAACAAGTGCTAGTGCGACGGTGCGGGCAGTCCAGCTCTCTACCTAGGTAAAACGCAACGTTTCAACACCTCTCCACCATTGCACTCAAGCAGGGGGCTCTCCAAACTATTTAACTCTGTGACTTCCCTTGGTTGTTTCCCAACACAATCAGGCATCATGGCTACTTTCCAACGAGCCGTCATTTCGCTCCTCTTGATCCTCTCGATCACCTTTGTCTTCTTTGCTCAGAGCACTGAGGCTGCCAAGGGACCCAAGATCACCCACAAGGTGCGCATAGCTCACAATTGACATGTGGTCGGTCTTGCTAACTTCCACAGGTGTACTTCGACATCACCCATGGTGATGAAGAGCTAGGCCGCATCACCATTGGCCTTTACGGCAAGACTGTCCCCAAGACCGCCGAGAACTTCCGGTACGACCCCGTACAAACGTGTGTACAGCTTCGGGATCTAACAAATGTGATAGCGCTCTGGCTACCGGCGAGAAGGGCTTCGGTTACGAGGGCTCTACTTTCCACCGCGTTATCAGCAACTTCATGATCCAGGGTGGTGGTAAGTACAATTCTTAGTACATCTCTAAGGGATCTGCAATGCTAACTCTGTTTTAGACTTCACCAAGGGTATGTCAAGATAAATCGAGCCCCGCAATCCACACACTGACAACGATTAGGTGATGGCACTGGTGGAAAGAGTATCTATGGAGCTAAGTTCCCCGATGAGAACTTCAAGCTCAAGCACACCCGCAAGGGTCTTCTCAGCATGGCCAACAGCGGAAAGGTAAGAGATACAATGTATGAACTGCACTTGAATCATGCACTGACCGTACATGGATGATCTAGGACACCAACGGCTCTCAGTTCTTCATCACCACCGTCGTCACCAGCTGGCTCGATGGCCGCCACGTCGTTTTCGGAGAGGTCCTCGAGGGCTACGATGTTGTGGAGAAGATTGAGAACGTGAAGAAGGGACCTGGAGACAAGCCGGCCCAGACCGTCAAGATCGCCAAGAGCGGAGAGCTCGAGGTGCCAGAGGAAGGTATTCACGCGGAACTCTAGACATCAGTACGCATTCTTTGCTATTGGGTCGACCCCTCAGGTTGGAGAGCTGCTGATAGTTGTGCCCTTTCTTCAAGATCTATACGGAGCTGCTGAACCTGCCATTCCTGGCGACGAACTCGATATCACTGCGGCAACACCATCCAAGGAGGATATCGTCAACATTGCTGAGGTCACCCAGGCCTCTACCACCAAGCCCAAGCTCCCTGGTATGGCCGTTGCCACTGGTTCCGCTGATGGACTGTCAATGGGCCAGAAGTTTTTCTTTGTTGGGGCTATCGTCGCAGTCTGTGTGCTTTTCTTGAAGTCGCGAAATGGTGGGCAAAGTAACGTTGTGGGTGGGCTCAAGGAGAAGAGCATGGCCTAGATAACGATGAAATGCAGAAACGTTCATTTAGTAGACTGTGATTGCGCTACATGATGAACATAAGGATAAAGGATGAATGAAGTCATCGCACCATACTACCACGACTAGAGGCACGCATCAACCCCTGTCTTGCTGCCCTGTAAAAGTGCGAGGCTAGGAATTCATCCAGGGTATGTTAACAAACCGTATTAGTGCAACACAGACTCTTTTCTCCTAGTGCCAACGCTCCAATATGTCAAGGCGCTAGCTAGGGTGAAGAGGGAGGATACGGAGTACTTGTAGTCCCTGCATTACCCACGGACAATGATGTATTACGGTCCAGGCACATGGTGGCTAGTAAAAACGAAAGTATTCTGTTGGGTTATCAGGACGCATGGCACTGTTGCACAAACTGGCCTGGAACCTGCACAAGAGCCAGGCAAAGCCGCCACTACATCCACCGAAGCCATGTCACAGTGCATGTCGCATGAAAAGCAAGCCGGCTGCAGCACACGACAGGATCCATATGTGACGTTCACCGCTCCCCACTCGCCACAGCTTGAGAACTCTGAGAGGGAGCGCTAGCGCCACACAGGGTCTAGTGCGGGAAGGGTTCTCCGACACGCTTTTTTAACTTACCTGCTGCGTTCTCCCTCTTCCCTAACCACCCACCCTCAAAACTATTCTGTGTGTATTACACAACCCTACAAGCACATTTTCTGTGAAGTCCTTTCTTTTGGTCTTCACTTCTTTACTTCTCGTTTTCCAGGACAGAGGCGTTCCCTTCTTTCCTGACAGAACGAGTCTCAGGCACCCGCCTGCGAGTTACGAGTTTCGTCACTTAGACCTGCTTTCTTTCGTCTGTCGCTCACCGCCGAGCCAGCCGAAGCCAGTAAAACAGTAATTTGCGACTTGCATATTGCCCTCGTCTTATATACACAACCACACCTTCAGCCTACTCGACTCAACCACGCCCATCATGGCTGACCAACTCGACATGGGTCGTCTCAACATAAATGAGTCCCAGCACAACAACCAGAACGGCTTCAACGGCGAGCGTTCTGCCTACATCCCTCCCCACCTTCGCGGTCGTCCCCAGGGCGGCCCTGCACCTATGGACGGCCCGCCCCCGATGATGAACGGCGGCGGCGGTCTCGGTGGCAGCGCTTGGGGACCAGGAGGGTCAGTCAATACCCAAGACACAAAACAGGAAGGTATGCTAACGGGTGACAGTCAGGGTCCTCCCCCTCAGATGAACGGCGGCGGCGGTGGTGCCGGTGGCTGGGCCAACGCACCCAACTTCACTCCCCGCGGTCGCGACGGTCCCCCAGGTGGTGGATGGGGCGGTGCCCCTCGCGGCAACTTTGACCCCAACGCTTACGGCAAGCCTGGTGGTGGCGGCTCTGGAGGTGCTCGCGGATCTGGTGACGGTGCCTGGAAGGACGGCAAGCACGTCCCTGGCCCGCCCAACCAGCGTCTTGAGCGCGACCTCTTCGGCGTGCCCAACGACCCCTCCAAGCAGCACACCGGTATCAACTTCGAGAAGTACGATGACATCCCCGTTGAGGCCTCTGGTCAGGGTGTTCCCGAACCCGTCACACGTTTCACAAACCCGCCTCTCGACGACCACCTGCTAAGCAACATCGAGCTCTCCGGATACAAGGTCCCCACACCAGTCCAGAAGTACTCCATCCCTATCGTCATGGGTGGCCGTGATCTCATGGCTTGTGCCCAGACCGGTTCCGGAAAGACTGGTGGTTTCCTCTTCCCTATTCTTGCCCAGGCTTTCAAAAACGGCCCTTCTCCTCCTCCCGCAACGGCTCAGGGTGGCTATGGACGCCAACGCAAGGCTTACCCCACCTCGCTTGTCCTTGCTCCTACCCGTGAGTTGGTCTCTCAAATTTTCGACGAGGCCCGCAAGTTCGCCTACCGCTCGTGGGTCCGCCCTTGTGTCGTTTACGGTGGTGCCGACATTGGTTCCCAGCTTCGCCAGATCGAGCGCGGCTGTGATCTTCTCGTCGCTACTCCTGGTCGTCTGGTCGACTTGATCGAGCGCGGCCGTATCTCCCTCGCTAGCATCAAGTACCTGGTTCTTGACGAGGCTGACCGCATGTTGGACATGGGTTTCGAGCCTCAAATTCGCCGCATTGTTGAGGGCGAGGACATGCCTCCTACCGCTGCCCGCCAGACACTCATGTTCTCGGCCACTTTCCCCCGCGACATTCAGATGCTTGCCCGCGACTTCTTGAAGGACTACATCTTCCTTTCGGTCGGTCGTGTCGGTTCTACTTCTGAGAACATTACCCAGAAGATTGAGTACGTCGAAGACGTTGACAAGCGTTCTGTCCTCCTGGATATCCTTCACACTCACGGTGCTGGTCTTACCTTGATCTTCGTTGAGACCAAGCGTATGGCCGACTCCTTGTCGGACTTCCTTATCAACCAAGGCTTCCCCGCCACCTCCATTCACGGCGACCGTACTCAGCGCGAGCGTGAGAAGGCTCTGGAGATGTTCCGAAACGGACGTTGCCCCATCCTTGTCGCTACTGCTGTAGCTGCCCGAGGTAAGTTTCCCAAAATCTTTTCCACCTCCGTACATTCCCAGTATTCTTCAAACTCTTGTACATCCTGCTGACTTGCTATAGGTATGTTCATTCTCTGTTATCTTCGTTCTTTCTTCACTTTTTTGATTCCTTCCTTTCCCATGTGGCAAGTACCATTATGGTTTGTACCTGCCTTCTTGCACCTGCCGTGATGGCGGGCTGTTGTTTACACAACTCGTCTCACCTTTTCTTCACCTGCACACATTCGCACCTTCACACCCCCATACCTTCACACTCCGCCATCGTGCTTTTGCATACACGCCTTGCACACCTTCGACTACCTATCTGGACAACGTCCAGCAGCTGCCCTCATACGCACCTGCAGTCGGTGTGGGCTCCTTCCCTCGCACTGGAGCCGGTCGTCTGCGAAAAGCACTTTCGAGCAAAGCGAGCACGTCGATCTTGACACGCCTGCATTTGTCCATTCGCCCGCTCAATCGCTCGACAGTCGAAAGGCACTGAGCGTCCCTTCATTCACACTGAGTCACTCGTGAACCGGAAAGCACTATCCAGCAAATCGATATCGTCGATATGAGTGCTGTTGTTACGAATACACAGTGTACTGAGACGATGTTGCCTGACACGACGGACATCTTCGTTCTTATACTATGGTTTGCTTGGGCGGTCCTATCTCGCACGCCCAGGGCTCTGAAGAGCTCCATGTTCGAAAAGCAGTTTCCGACTGAGAACGCAATCATGGCAGTCGCTACCTCATCACTGCTGTCCTTTGCTCCCGGCCTGATAGAGGCTATTCGTTCACCGACTGCCCCGACCATTGGCTTCTTCAAGACCTCAACCATCCCGGATGGGAAGGTGTGGGCCGTCTACGTCCTCGTCATGGAGAAGGTCGGACATCGTCCAAAGACCTACTGTGGCAGCGGCACCGACTCATCTGAAGGTGCTTCACGACGTATGGAGGTATATGACAAGCGAAACGACCATGGCATCTTCTCGGATGTGGTCTCCGCCGCTGTTGAGAAAGCCCTTTGCGACGGTTGGGTCATCACTCACAAGGGCTACTTGGTATGGACCCCTCTGCCTCGAGCATACCTCCGTTTCGTCCTCCGCGGCTTCATCCTTGTTCTCGAGGCCGTGTTCACTATGGTATTCTAGATGATGGTCTCCCACAAGAAGGACTATTGCATGCCTCACCTATGTCCATGGGCTATCGACACCTTCACCTACGACGGCTGCTGCACCCATTTCTCTATCAACGAAGGAGGGTGGGTGGGTGCTGAGGAAGCCCAGAGGTATGAGGGGTACACTCCCGACGAGATCGACGTCCTCGATCTTGAGTACAAGAAGACAAAGCAACGTCAGTACACTGTGAACAAGGGCGACAAGCACAAGGATTACACCAAAGCCTATAGCCTCAAGCATCTTGCATTGGGTTCCTTCAAGTGTGATGTCTGCGACCTCACCTTCCGGTCTCCTGCCAAACTACTCGAGCATGAGGGTCGTGAGATCCACAAGCGCAAGGCAGCTGGACTGGGCAGACGTAATGCTGGTCGAGGCGGCGGCCAAAGGGCTCTACGCGATGGTCGTTACCAATGCAAGACATGCAACAACATGAACTTCCCCTCCGCCGACCGCCTTCGCATCCACTTGGGCGGTGTCCGACATGCGAAGAAGCTTAGGGACCTAGGTTTGAGCCCTGCGCTCACCTAACCCTCACCACCCTCCACCGGAAAAGCCCTTTTTGGACCCCCTCGATTTTCATTCCTTACACCTTTGACCCCCTTCGCTCACGTTCCCTTCCGCTTCTACGTTTCTATCTACTTTATATTTTACTCTACTACAAGGACATTATACTGACTTACTTAAATGCCTCGATATACCTAACGTGACGCACGTCGTCAACTATGACCTGCCCACCGATATTGACGATTACGTTCACCGTATCGGTCGTACTGGACGTGCTGGAAACACTGGTATTGCCACTGCTTTCTTCAACCGCGGCAACCGCGGAGTTGTACGCGATCTCCTTGACCTGTTGAAGGAGGCCAACCAGGAAGTCCCTGGATTCCTCGAGTCCATTGCCCGCGAAGGCTCCGGCTTCGGTGGAGGCCGTGGTGGACGCGGAGGCGGTCGTGGCCGTGGTAACGCTGCTACCCGTGACGTTCGTCGTATGGGCGGCGGCGGTGGTGGTTTTGGTGGTGGCGGTCAGTGGGGTGGTGCTCCTCAAGGCGGCTACGGAGGTGGTTACGGCGGCGCTCCCGGCGGCGGCTACGCTCCTCCAGCTCCTGGTGGCTACTCTGGCGGCGGTGGTGGCTTTGGTGGAGGCTACGGCAACCCATCCGGCCCTGGCGGCAACTCCTGGTGGTAAACGTGCATCGCACCGCTTCACGATGTAGCCAGCCCGGGATACATTTTCTTCTCTACGATACCCTGGGCCTTCGTGTCGCTGCTACCGATGGCTTGCTTTCGATTTTCTTATCTCTCAAATGTTTTCTGCGACTCCTTCCCGGTTACCGCGGATCGATGCGGAAATCAGGAATCTCATACCCCAACCAGCATATAGACAGCGACTGTTTTTTTGCGGATCTGCCTGTTTTTCGAGCTCTTCTCGCATACGATACCCTTCGACGCACATTTGTCGAGCTCGAACATAGATGGCAGGACCCTCGTCTTTCCCGGAAAGGCATGCATTACGAACATTTCACGACTTCGCTCTTCTGCAAGCATGCTGCTTGGGGAGCCATAGATTCTCGCTTTCCGAGTCGTCCACACGCGGATGACCTCTGAGCATTTCCTTATTTTACGACAAAAGCGATTCCTTTTTCCCGGTCATACCCCTCGGCGACAACGCCTTTCTCGTCGTCCTTGCGTCGCTCAGTCTCTCCACACGCGGAGAGTAGCAGCATGACCTTGTTTTGGACGACGAAAAAGTTTCCTGCATAGATGGCGTTCATGAAGGTCTATCCACGACCCAACCTTTGTACGAAGGAAGATACCCCGGTTCTTTGTGGTAACCATCATGGTGGCTGTCTTTCCAAGGCCTGCTCGGCGGTGGGATTTAAAAGCTCTTTCTGGTTTGCAGGCACATGTGCGGACCTGACCCAGTGACTTGGGTGGAAGGAATCTGATAAAAGTATAGTTTCCAGCAGATGATTACTTACATAGACTAGTGCGGGCTGCCAACATGCGTAGCCTGTACAATGCATGCGATTTCATACTTGCAACTCTGTCCTCTATTTGCTGTGATGTTGAAGATGGTAGCTCTAGGCCGGCGAGTATCATGCGATTCACATGATGTGGCCTAGTCATTTTCAGCCATTTATCTCGACTTTCGTCCATCGCCCAAGGCATTGCACCCCATACAAGACAAAAATCGAACAGGTGAAGGTAACAAGCTCTACCTTACAGATTACGTTAGCTCCTAACAATAGAGATTATATAGCCTAACAGCATTGTAGACTTCTAGATTCTCTATAAATATTCATATAGCTGCAATACAATTTGTTGTAGTAGGAAGAAGTACTCTGCTCTAATGAGATGTTTGGTTTCTCCCCTTGACGTAGTGTTGCAAAATGCTTCAGGATCTATGCTGGTATTGGCAACTCGGGGCCGAGAGACGATCTCGGCCTCGCTAGGCGGTGGTTCTTTCTCCAGTCATTACCATTCTTGCAAGACGACTGACACTGTCGTTCTTGCCTTACGAAGCAGGTGCCGTCAATATCACTTCCTCACGCATCTGCTTGTATCCAAGGCTCTCTTTGGTCATCAACGTCGTCTTGCCCACGCCACCAGCCAACCACTCTATTCCTCGTGCACGCACCCATCGGATATCAGCATAATTAGCACCGAATCCGACTTGTTCCGCAGACTCGAAAAGTGTGGCTGAAGCTATCTTGTCACACTACAATGCCAGACCGCCTAGCAAGCCACCCATCACTCCAAAAGACACGCGACAATCTCGCAAAATGGGGAAACTATTGCCGCGCACAGCTCATAGACTGGACTGCAGAAGCGAGAGAAGAGTTTGAAGCAGACATAAATCGGACCAAGCCGTGGAATACCAGTTTGTAGGATTGCCTGAATCCCCTGCCACTATGTAAGTTCATCTCATTTGTCGAAGTGAGGATGGGATTGACGAGTATGGTAGGTCTTGTCACTTTCTTCTGTCCTTGCGTCACCTGCGGAAAGACATGGCATCGTCTTCATTACAACGGCGATATGAGTGGGTATGAGATTGTCAATGTACCGGTAAGTATTCTCTCTTCTCTACGCCTAGCTTCTATACCACAATCCGATTCAATCCACCTCACTGCCCATTTCCTGACTAACAGAACAAAACACAAACAGTGCATAGCCTACGGCTACTCGGTCTTCTGCTGCACCCTACTCGCCCACCAATTCCTCGTCTGTATCCCAAACGCATGGCAAACATTTCGCATTCGCAGAAAGGGCGATCTAGGTGGGACCTGTGCTGCAGATTGTGCAAAGACCTGGTTGTGCCCTTGCTGCTCGTTAATTCAAAACGAGAAAGAATCGAAGCTTCTGATCGAAGGGCGTAGAACAGGGTTTTGGGGTGGCGATGGCGCTGGCGCTGGCGCAGAGGATGTCATTGTACGGCAACCGACCGGGGGTCTGGGCGAGGAGATGGTCATGTCAACGATCGCGCAAGCTGAAGGTGTGACATGTGCAATGGTTGAACTCCCGGTGACCATGGAAGGCGTCGATGGGCAGCTGGCCGGATCCGAGGCAGAGTCTGGATTAGAGAATACGGACGACACGACTAAAACACAACCACATGCAGATGATATCGCTGATCCAAGCACTCTGTCTGACCCAATCACGTCGGAAGGAACCCTCAACAACGAAACTTCTACTTCGCCTATCATGATCTGCTCAGTAGCAACGACAACTATATTCGAGCCCCCCACACCTCCCACCGAATCGATTACGACTTCCCAGCACTTCGAAATAGCACCTACTCAGGAAATTCTTTCTTACGCCCCTAGCCACTCAGAAAGAAGGAAGAAGAAATGGAATTCGGATACGACAGGCCAGCGTGTCCGCCGTAAGAGTGAAAGAGTAGTTCCGAATCATTTGGATTGCTTCGTGCCGTATATGAAGTTTTTAGAGTAAGTTTGTCTACTTTGGCTCACCCAGAGACGCGAATTGAATGTGAAGAGAACGGAAGGGCTGAGTAGGGGGAAGAGATGGATGGTGGCATTGTTGTTCTTCTTCTTATTGTCCTAGGGTTCTTTTTTTTTGTGTGTGTTCCTGTTTCACGCGCCTCACGTTTAGGTCGTTATCGAGGTTCCTACTTTATTGCTATAATTCATGTCTGCCTTCAATTAGGCTCCCTCTTCCAATCCCGCGATCATCCCTTAACTGTCTAATCGAGCATGACCAGAAAAGTACAACAGTAAAAGATACACCGTAATCATTATTTCATGACTCATTATACACGTTACGTATACGCTAGATACAACACACTCCACTCGAGAGGGCACAACCTCTCCTCATCAGCACATCAAGTGACAGGAAAGCCAAGATAGTAAAGGTCTGTAAAACTTACAGCCCACTCAGTCCATCCAACAACGCCGTCAGCCCACCAACACCCAACAGGGCGCCCGCCGCCGCCTTCCTTCCTGTATGACTCTTCTTTCCATACTTGTCTCTCTCCCTTTCCCGCTCTTTCTCATACATTCTACTCCTCGACTTTGACCTACGTCGTCTAGGGCGTTCGAATTCAGACTCAGATGTCGTGAAGTCATCGTCGTACCGTCGGTTGCTTGGACGCATGTAGGATTGGCGGAGAGGAGACGCTTGTATGGAGTAATTCTGGTTTTGAGGCTGTGAATGTGAGGGTAAAGGTGGGTTTGTGAAAGGGACATTGGCTGGTGGTGGTGGGAAGTATTGAGGTGTTGCTGTTGTGTTCATCATTTGTGGTGGGTAGCCGTTGGTTTGTGGTGGGTATTGAGGCAGTCGTGGAGACTGAGGAAGTGGCGGTTGCTGAGGGGCGTACTGATTTGACATTGGTATCTGGAGGTTTGGAGTCCGAGAGTTGACGTTTGACTGGGGTGGTGGTGGAATGAGCCCGGGTCCAGGCATTGAGAGTGATCGATCTAGTGGGGGTGGCCCAGGTGGTGGCGGGAGGTGATTTGAGGTGATCGAGCGGTCAAGCGGGGGGTGTGTGCTCCGAGGCACTGGTGTTCGGTTCCGATCGAACGCGCCTCCTTTCAGAATACCATGTGGCGGTGGGGGACGATTGAAAGAAGATCTCCTAACTTGTGGCTGCTGAGGTGGAGAAGGTGCTGCTGCCTTTCGGTATATGTCAACTGTCCGTTCGACAAGACGCTTGACCTGTTCGAACTGTAGTGGCCGTTCAATACAGAAACACGTTTCGCCCCTTATCCTCCTGTTGTCCTTCCGCTCCTTTTGGTAGGATGTATATCTGAAACCCGCCTCTCTGATTGCTTCCTTGCATACCCAACTCGCCATAATCTCAGTCCAGCTGCTACGCTCCAAATACGCCAGAGAGTATGCCTGGTCAGTGTTTGAGCTGACCATTTTAGCATCAACAAATCGCCAGTAGTATTTACGCGTACACAACTTCCACGGAATTTCTAGATCGGCTTCGCTGTCTTCCTCTTTGGCTTCTACCGCGGCGGCCGCCTCGACCGGCAAACTTCCCAAACTCGATCGGGGTGATGCAATTGGGTACTGTTCATTGGTAGCTGGTGGCATACCTGTTCGTGACGTACGTGGTGTAGCGATGGGTGTTGGCGGCGTGGTGGGACCGTACTGCTTCTCCTGTGGCGGACTGGGCGTGCCATTGACCTCAGTAAATAGTGGCTCTATGCTTCCTGACCTGTGCGTTCGGCGAGCACCGTCGCCTGACAGCTTTGACGTGCGACTTTCCTCTTCGCTATCAGATTCCACAGTGGCTTGTTGAGTTTCCCATCTTTGCCTCTGCCTTTCGCGTTCTTCGTCTTGTAAGCGGCGTTCAAATAGAGGGAGGCTCGTCCATCGCTGCAACAAGCGTTCGACACGTGAAGCCGATGCAGTAAGAACTGCTGGTAATCCGTTCGCTTCAGTATATATTGATGTGTCGAGACTTGTCAAATCTTCATCCTGATACGAACGTAGGGTAGATGACCTAGGGGCTTCGCCCCGCCCAGTGATGACCAAACTCTGAGAACTGTCTCCTTCCATCAACAACAGGCGCGCATCAGATTGAGACAAGTTTTCGTAGAGGTTCGAAGCTGATAAAATTGACAATTGTTGTTGAACAATTAACGTTTCCAGTTGGATCCTTTCACTATCAACAAGTTTGGCGGCTTGTTGTGGAGATACCGTAGGACGTACTCTATGGCGCTGTTAGCGTACTCCATGGAAGGAATCTGAGCCATGCGTAGCAGCCTGGATGAAGGCTAGATGTCTCAAAGGGGACGGAACTAACTTTGACCACATTATAGTCTGCGCTGCGTAGAGCGTCTGTAGCAGGACAGAGAGCGTCATGCTCAGGGCTTCCAGGTGAGCAGTGAGATAGTCCAAACTAGCCTTGGTTGAAGGATCTAACTGAGGCCGAATGTTTTGAGTAGAGCGGGAAATGTCTCTTTGATCGCGATGCTTCTCATCCTCGGTTGATGAAGTCGATTCAAAGCTGGTAAGTAATGTTTGGGCTTGATCGATGACGTCGTCCAGAGTATCGATAGCCTATGTATATAATCAGCGAGGAACGACAGAGCTTTGTCAAGTAATGTAATGACATATTTTTCGGATCTCTTGTGTCTCAAGTGCCTCAGTCGCACAAAACGAATTCGCAGCGACCTCAAAATCTTTATCTCATGAACTTCATTCACGACCCCCCATCGTTGTGTCGTTCACAAATCCACGGCGATCGTCTTTACGTACCTCAGGTGATGGTAGACGATCATCTTCTTTGATAATGGTCCCCAACTGCTTCAGTATTGCAGCAAATCCATTGATGCTATTCGCAACGCCAACTAAATCTTTCGCTGACCCGGGTGACTCAGCAGCAATACCGTAGAGTTTCAGCGCGAGAGCTGAGCTTCTCGAAACCACCGGTAGAATATCTGCTAACACCGCCATCTCTTTCTCCTTGAGGATTTGATTCCTAGATGGAAAAAAAGTGGCGAAATGAGCGGTGTGGAGAAATAGAGTCTTGGGGAAGAAGCACCCGAACCGAACAGAGTCGAAATCCTTCGATATGTGTTCCAAACTAACTAACCCTAGAGTTGTGTGAGGTCATAGTGTAGGAATTAATGCAGGGCTCTCATTGACCGACGACTAAATCGGGCGGAGATCACGGCTTGGTGATTGGCCAAGACCACGGCTGAAGGCAGGCAAGCACGCGAACCGTTCAACTCATGCAGGAGCGGCCACAAGGCTCCGCGAAGACCGGTACATCGTAAGCTGCAAGGCAGAGGCTGTGCGCCCTCTTCAGTGTTTCTGACAGATGGCTACATCTGCACAGGAAGCCTCAAAGGATTTTCGCCCGCACCTGAAACCCGACGACTTGCTGAAGCCCTCTGTTCCAATGCATCTGTTCAAATTCTCATTCCGAAGTATCCGCAGGCAGAATCTTCGAGCGTTGCGCGTCAACAGTTGACTAGAGGCGCGCCAATGGTGTGGCACAGGATGACGCCGGCTATACGGGATGGGGTTGGCCACCTGATGACTTTTGAGGCTCAAGCTGAGAAGAGAAGACAAGCGCGTCGTGAATCTATGCTTTGGATCCGCCTTGAGAGGCCGGTATATGGTGGCGTGAGATGGAGGATCCGGTGAGAACTTGGCTGTTGATCAGACCCGGCTTGGGCTTCTGATGGTGATGTGCTACAGGTCAGTACATGTGCGCGCTGTATTTGGTATGATTCGCGACGCGGGGGAGCAAGGCATGTGCATGATTCGGAATTCTTTGCAGCTGCAGCAATGTCTGAGGGGCTGCAAGTGCTGAAATGCGTTCGCCAAGCAAGTTCACCGGCAGCTTTGGGCAACAACGACCCATACAGACAGGACGTATGCAGTCTTCACGGCTCCGGCCAATGCAGCGACAAGCGGTCATGACATTTCGGTGTGTGTGCCACTGATGCCTGTAGAATACATGCCCAAGACGGACCATGCAAAGATGCATTCATGTCGTTTCAGATGTCTTATACACATATGTCTACATGCAATATACAGCCCCCGTCCATATCCTAGTAGAAGGATCGGTTCTGGTTGGGCGACAGCGTTGCGTTCTGCCCCACGAAGTCCCAGTCAATCCTGTCCCACCACTTCTCGAGGAATGCCCTCTTGCCCCGGACACCGTAATCCTGCAACCAGACATGCTCCCATGTGTTTACGCACAGCAGTGGTACTACATCGATGCCGCCCAACGGCTTCTTGGCCCTCGAATCCTGCTGCTGCGACGCCGCACCAAACGACCCGACCTTGTTCATTCCCTGATATGAATCAACATTGTGTGTGTTGAGATCGTGCGATTGCCGCCTGTGGTGAGCGCCCGACAGCGGCGATCCGGCGAGATATGTGGGCAAGATGCGCAGGCTGCCGAAGCTGGTGTCATTGGTCTGCACGAGCCAGACAAAGCCGGGGCCAAACATGGACTCGGCCGTGGCGAGGAATGTTTCGCGCAGTGTTTCCATGGACGAGAAATCGCGGTTGATCTGCTTGGTGAGGTCGGTCGACGGCCGCGACTGTACGTCCGGATTGGCGTTGATGCCGCGGAAGAAGAAATGGTTGTTGAAGGCCATGCTGGCAATGTTGAAGGCGTAGGCTTTCATCGGATCGCGGGCAAAGTCTACAACGAGGGCCTTGGCTTCCTGGTTCTCGAATTGTGTACCTGCAAGAGCGACATTAGCCTCTGGCACAGTCTTGGTCTTGAATTGCATCCATCGTACCCGCTGTCGACGCATTCAACTCGTCAACAATGTGGCCTTGGTATTCGGTGTATGCCGTGTTGAAGCCCTTTGGCGAGAGCAGCCCGGGGACGCCATTCTGCTCGATCACGGCATGGTTGTCCAGTGGGGGCACCGTGTAGATGTTGCGGGCGGCGGGCGATGGTATTCTCTATCCCACGTCAGTTCACCCACGACGTATATGGTTGACAGCCCAGCGTACCCTCCAAGCCCCGGCCGCAGACTGGAATGCACCCGGCCGGCGGGCCAGACACCGTGTAATCATCATATGTGTGGTGATTGTCGGGCGAGCGATCGAATTGTCGTCGGCAAGTCGTTTCTCCAAGCTCATCTTTTTCCCGGGCTCGAATCATCGCGCTAAAACCCCCATCCAATCACGACGCGTCCTCGCCACGGCAGCCCTGGTGGGCAAAACCTCGCACCCTCCAAGCGCCCGCATCACACGTTTCATCCACTCGACTCCCCGTCCATGCATAGCCACACAAACACCAGAGTCACCTGCCACTGCGACCGTGCTAGCTAAACCCTACACCCGCCATACAATGCCTATTGTCCACTCGGCGCGAAACAGAGCTCTATTCTCGGAACTTAGCCGACGAGATGGGTGGACACGATAGAGCCCGATTTTCCCATCTCGCGGTGAGGAACGTCACTCGCCTCTAGATTTTCGCAGTAAATATCCCAAAGGTAGGGCCTGTCTTTGTCTGCTCATTCCATTGTTTCGTACGTCTCTTTTCATATCGCTTCCATATCGCTTTCGGATTGCTTCCTTATCCCACTGTTTCACACGCTCAAGTCACTTCTTTGAGGTTCGCCGGTCCGACCTCTTGACCATAATACTGTCACCACGCTTCCATCTCCAAGACAATGGCTCCAGCTACATCGTCTCCCAGGCTTTCGAGGATATCCCTCGTATGCCTTTTTGCCTCGCTCATCACAGCTACACATGCATCGCATCTCTTTCTCCGTCAAGCAGAAACATGCGGAGGGAACGCAGACCTGCAGCAGTGCGGATCAGACTTCCCGTCTTCATTTTGCTGTCCCAAGGACTCAACATGCATGGCTCTCAACGGTGGAGACATACAATCAGTCATCTGCTGCCCATCCGGTTCAGACTGCGCCTACATTCAGCCAACCACTTGCGACACCACGCAACTGAACGCTACCCTGCACCCAGACAACCAAATGCATCTCTCCGAGACCGACGGCATTGACTTACCCAAATGTGGTGACAAATGCTGTTCATTAGGCTACACATGTCAGGGCACCATGTGCGCCAAAGACACCTCCCCATCACCGACCCCATCTCCAACATCATCCGCAAACGCAACGCCTTCCTCCACTAGCCCCGCCTCCGCATCCCAGACTTCCAATTGCCCAGCAACCGCACCCATTCAAACAAAGCAGGGCTTCGACGGAAAGTCCTTTGCAGCCGGTTTCTTCCCTGGCATAGTCATCGGCGCCCTCAGCACCTTGGCCCTGATCTGGATCATCAAGAAAAGACGCGAATCCCAGTCTAAGGAGCGCTACTCTGGCGACTTTGGCCATGTAGCTCGTCAAATTAGCGACCCCATCTACGACCCTCAACACGCTGCACGGACAGACTTCATGCGTCGGGGCAGCCACTCCGCCCACTCAAGCCCCAATTCAACAGACCGGATAGTCCAAGGCATGAAGGAAACAAACGCCAACCCACCTATCCACGGCTTCACACCCAGGATAAAAAGCATGTGGGACCGCACTCCCAAACTAAACTTTGGGTTTACGGGTGGTCTCCCATCAAATCCCGCTCCCCCCGTCCGTGCAGGAAATCCATATACCGATCCTTACCAAACCCCGCCCCCGAAACCGAAACGCATTCACTCTGCCAGTCGGCGCACGAGTTCCCTCCGTACGAGTACCCAGACATTCAACACACTACAGCCAGGACAACACCGTCCCAATGTGGCAAGGAGCGGCAGCTCAGAAACTATCGATGTCTTGATGCCTGCACCGAGTTTCTTAGCTCCGCCACAGGCACCGGGTATGCGGCGCGATAATCGCTACACAACCGACTCGGCCAACACAACATTTACGAAACTTATGGAGAGGGCGGGGTTTGATGAGAGCGCGCAGCAGGAAGTCAAGGCGTGGAGGACGCCTCGGGCTTAGACTGCGACGCTTTGCTTCATGTTTGTTCCATGACTTTCTCTTCTCTTCGTACATATATTCTACACTCTTTGATGCCTCTTTTGCTAGAGAAGGCGTTTGAGCATTTATTTCGTTATGGTAGGCTGGCAACCTCACAGCATTTGCATTTGGCTTCGGCGTTGGCTTTTCTTTACATGATACCACATAGGCAGGCCTTTAGTCGCTCTCTACGAGCTGTTCCTTTTACCAGGCGAAAATCGATATTACCATCAACATCAACATCTTCCACTGCCTCATGGTCGTACACGTCATTAGGCGTCTCATTGTCATAACTATGTATACATGTCTGAAGACTCTTTGCGTAAAACCCTAATCAAGTATACCCTAGGTATATATCCGTATCAACTCAATGCAACGCCCATGCACCTCCTCGCCCTACCAAACACTTTTAAAACCTAGTAACACCATCCCGCGAACTTCCTCCAACGATCGGCAAAGTCTCAACGAGATCATCACCGGCCATGTCCACATCAGCAGCTACCGACGCGCCACTCGATCCCACAGTACCTTCACCCGCTATCCTTGCCTCGGCAGCCTGCGCCCTCAGTTCTCGCCCAACTTCCCTCTCCAACACAGCTAGCGTCCTTTTCTTCTGATTCCCAAACAGACAATGCCAAAGATCGTCTTCCTTGACAATCTCACCTTCGCCCTTCTTGCGCATAAGTTGCTTAAACGGTGCGTTTTGGAGTTCAGCCGAGTTTGCAGCATCGAGAGTCTGTTCTTTGAGAGCGGGGGTCGTGGATCCGGATTGCGTAGGTAGCTTGGACAATGTATTGTTACTAATATGTTCGAGGCGGCGGGCAACAGATATCTCATAGATGGCTTCTTCTACTGTGTCGCTAATGAGGTACATGAACACTGTCGTGGGTCGCTGCTGCCCGATTCGATGGACGCGACTAATGGCTTGGAGTTCGATTGCGGGATTAATGAGTGGTTCGCAGAGGAAGACATACGTTGCGTTTACGAGAGTTAGGCCCGAAGAATCGGTTTTGGCATCTAGGAGTAAACATTCGATGCTAGCATCAGCCTTGAACTTCCGGATACCGTCTTTGTCGGTGATGTTGCTGGCGCCAATCTTCCACTTCTTGAGTGCATCGTGAAGCACTTCGAGGAAGTCCCCGAATTGAGAGAAAATGATCGATTTGGCGCCTGGGTCGTTGTTACGGATCCATATTAGGTGGCGCGCGATCATGTCGATTTTTGTGCCGTATGAACCTTCTAGATCGATCATCTTAATCTCTTTCATCGTTGAATCGGAAATATCAGAATAGATAGATGTGGTTGACGAAAAGTCTGGCGTGGAAGCTTGTGTCGGGCTGGCAGGTGCGGTTGTCTCTTCCTTCGCTCTGATCGCGATTTGTTTGAATGTGATGTCTTTAAAATCGGACCCAGATAGCTTCTGCTTACAAGTTGGGCAGGATCTGTGCACCTGCCACCATTGATTGATGCATTCTTTGCAATATTTGTGACCGCAAGCTGTCAAGACGCCAATCTCGATGTCTTCCCTACAAATGATGCATTCAGCTGCCGCTTCATTTTGGTTCTCAGTCCGGAGATGCTTCAGATAAGTGCACTTCGTCTTGAAGCCATTGGCAAGATCCTTTTTTCTCTCTCGCAATTGATTGGCCTTGTCGAACTCGCGCGAGTCGAATGTATTGTCTAGTTCCTCCTTGTACTTTGCAACGGTATCGGAGATGTGTTGGAATTGCCGATAATATTCCAGACGCTGGTTCATGGTACCTCGGTACATTTCCTGCTCCTTTTCAAGTTCGGTAATGGCCTTCGCTTGTTCTGTGACAACAGCCTGAACCGTGGCATTTTGTTTCTGAAGAATGCCAAGTTCTGAGGATGCCCGAGCATCGCCGCTGTTGGCTCTCCATTGCAAAGCAGTGATCAGCGAGCGAATGCTAGATACAACACCCTTCAAGGACCCAGCTTGCAACTTCGCCTGTAATCCACGTCGTGTATTGATAACTTCAAGCAGAAGTTGAGGCGCGTGACCTCGATCACTGTCTTCGTCCCCTTTCAGGGCTTGTTTTTCGGCAGCCTTGAGCTCGTGTTCGACAAGATTATCCTGCAGACCGTTGACAGCAGCATTACGGTCCGCAACAAGGGTTCGAAGAGCCATGATGTAAACGTACAGCTCATCCTGAGCTTTGAGAGAATCGTCGTACTCTTCACCCGTCGTCTCCTTGTCGTCGTCATCATCCACCAGGCGTGTTAGGAGAATGTCAACAATCTTCGCACGCCATGTCTGTATCAACCGGGCTTGCTCGTTCAGATAATCGCTGAGGTTGTCCATCGTATCGAGAATTTTCCGGGCTTCGATACCTCCCAGATCCGGAAGGTCAGCTATTGTAGGTATCTGGTGGAAAGGCTTTCTTGAATCGACTTTAGCCATTTGCTGCTGCGCTCTGCCCTTCGATTCCTTCAGCAGTTCACGGCGAATTACCCTGGCCGCTTCGTAATAATCCGTCTCCAATTTGTCTTTCTCGCGCCAGTCATCTGAGTCTGGCTCTGTCAATTGTGGATTTTCTTTGATCTGATGCCAGGCGGTGGCGGTAAAGAATTGAGCTGCATGCTCAAGCTCTAGAAATGACCGGAGCGATTTGCGCAGAACTGGAATGCGGCCCATATTGTCTCCGTCGATGTCTTCGTCTTCATCAGCCCCGTGGAGGCCACCTGTGGATACGCGGCCTAGCTTCTGCTGCTCCGCTAGTAACTCAGCTCTGCATATCGCAATATATGATTGTGCCTCAGTCCGCGCTTTATCATAGTATTCAAGCGACGACTTTGCACGATTGGCGAAGTTTCCTGCGTATGCTTGGATGTGACCCATCTTGATCAGACACAGAGCCATTTCGCGAGCCTCTGCCTTCCACTTTGTGTCGTTCTGCTCTATCATGACCTCTAAAACTTCGTGCACGGTACGCAAGGCACCGTTCTTTGCACCTAACGCTTTCTTGTTCTTTCGACCTACGTTTGCATGGAGACAGGTCTGGCGCAATCTTATTAGCCACTCTCGCATGCGCTCGACAACCTCTGGGTGGGTCTCATCGCGACCTTCTTCTTTCGGTTGCCCTTCGGGGGTGAGCCAGCATGCATCACACATTTGACGCATCATTTCATTGTAATGCTGCTCCTCGATGGTCGTGAACGGAACAGTGATGACAACACGTTTCTGCGGTGGTATTTGAAGGTCATCACGAACCCTTGCTTTTGTGTTTCGCACAGCAATCTCGTTGAAGATGCCTTTGAAAGACACCTTGTCTAGACGAGTCCAGGCCGCTTTGTTCGCAAATGCATCGCACCTAAGGAAGATCAAAAGACCACGTAGATCCTGGACGTCTTTGCGAAGAGGAGTTCCGGAAACCGCCCATGCATTACATCTGGGGATGATTCGAGCTACTTGGGCGGCCTGACTGACCCCGCTTTCAACCATCTGCGCTTCATCTAAACAGACCCTCCACCATGAGATACCGACAAGGGGGCTATGCCGGCGGTCCTGACGTTTTGGACGTCGAGAGCTGCGATCAGGGGGAGGTACAGCGTGGTGAATCTCTTTCGAAAGGACTTGATATGTCGTCACTACTACATCGTGTTGCATGAGATAGTCGACTGTGGCTGTGGCATGGTCTTTCTTTGGTGCAGATTGAGAGGGGAGACCTTTGTAATGGCAGACCTTAAGATCAGGAGCATGAGCATGTATTTCGCTCAGCCACTGTTCCAGAATCGAAGGAGGAGTAATGATTAGTGTAGCGCCTGAAGGCCGAACCTGAGCTCCAGTGTATGTATCATAGATGTTACCATCAAGGATGTCCCGCTTGTGATGGGATATGAGCGCGATTAGCTCAACGGTTTTACCTAAGCCCATTTCTTCGGCGAGTATACCACCGCGCAGCGACTGTAGAGTGTCGTCCTTAGCTGCATCTAAATTGGTAACTATAGTGCCCCGCAGCTGACTGACGTAGCACAGTACTCCTGTCACATCTTGTGTCTGCCTAAATGATGCTGGTGGTGAAGTGTTGACAAAAGGCTCCAGTAAGCCAGAAGATGAGAATGCAACGCCTTCTCGACGCAAGAGCCAATCAACAGTCCTTTCTTGGAAAGGCAGAAGCTTGGTGTCGATCAAACCTTGTTTGATAAGCGGTGAAATCTCTGTGTCCGCCGGTGGTACATGTACGGAATCGTAAAAGTCGGATAGGGTCCAAGACTTGTCGCCTCTCGGAGCCGCATCGCTCATGTATTTCGAGAGGAGCTTCAGGTCCGCGTTCATGTAATGGCCTCGAATATCTGGATCCTCAACCACAGATATGTTCAGAGTCCACCGTATCTCCACTACCAACTTGTATCGACTGCGCCCGTGCGTGGGTGGGTGCAGCTGGCATCGACAGAAAGCCGCGCGAGAAACAGGTTTGTGTCTTTTGCCCTGAAGCGAGGTGGCAAGTGCAGAGGCATTCCGTAGGTGGGGTATGACCGAATCTATGAAAGGTGAGGGAGTTGTGGCAACCAGGTCGACACCCGTTTCATTGACAGCGTTCCAGAGTTTCATCTGAAGAGTATCTCCTGTGTGGTCTCTCCGACAGGATTCAAGCTCTAGATTTACGGGTTCTTGCGATATAGCCGGGGTATACGTGATACTTAAGGAGTCTTGCGACGGGGTAGGCATGTTCTGTAGACATGTTAGTTGGACTCCATAAGAATCGACCAGCCTACTCACCAAATCGATGGATACGTTGGCTAAGACAACACTATTCTTTTCGTTAGAGTCCGCCTGCGGCCGTACTGGAATGGCATTGCCATTTCTGGATTTGCGTCGTTTGGGCGAAGGTTCTTCTTCTTTAAGCGCAATAGGTGCTGCGAATAAGTCTTGTATAGTACGGATGCAACTCGAGGCATCTTGCGCCGGAAGCGACGATGGCCCGCCAGGACTCCGGACGTCGGCCACAGAAAAGGCAGTTGCACGCAGCAGCTCAGCACTTCCCTCTAAAGAAGACATAATGGCTTTCGGCTCAAGGTGTCAAGAGGAAGCCGTGGTGTAACAAGGGACGAGGCGAACGCGGGTATGAGCGAATGTCGGCCATCGCGGACACGCTAAGATAAGTGATAAACCAGGGTCAGCCCCACAACCAGGCATCAGTTCAAGATGGTCCGCCTTCACTATGACCCCTCACCGCTAACCTTCTCTCTGAAGGATTCTTCGCCTCACGCGTGAATACAACAAATCTGGAGAGATTAAATCAAACGTTAGGCTTCGTGCCAAAAGTGACTGTTGGTGATAACTAGCTAGTTGTCTCTTTCATCTACATGGTTGAAGCAATCTCCAAGTTGCCATTGCTCCTGCGCCAATGACGTGTTCCAACCACTCGTAAGGTAGGCTGTTCTATATGCGCCCTAACAATGGCTGTCTCTTTGCTCAGAGAATAGGCACGGAAGTGTACCAAAGGGACATATATAATCCTGTACCACAACTGACCACATCGTTGGAGATGGCCCGTGTATGCGTGATGCCGTCGGCTGTCCATGGTCGGATGATTGCGATCTAGTGGCTCACAGTGGAGAAGTCTTCGGCGCGGGGCGTTTGTCATCAGGCGACAACCGAAGTCCCGTCTGGACAGCCGAAGGTTCCTGCGTTCGGGCCTTCGCTTTGTACTCATCCTTCTCGACAATCTTGACGTCCCTAGGGACAGATATGAGCATAGCCTCGGTGTTACGCAATGTCAAATCCATATAATTCCGTAGCAGGTGTTTACTCCGTGGCCAGCACTCTCTTGATCGGTTCTGCAGCCTCGATGAACTTCTCGACCATGGTATCTAGCTTTGTGAGATCGTCCTTCCCCTTCTTGACCTCTGCGATGAGCTTCTGCTTCTGCTTGAGCTTCTCCTGTCGTGCCTCTTCGAGCTTGAGACGGACTTGGTGTTCGTGCTCGATGCGCGCGGTCATGAGGTCGTGTTCGGTCGATTCCTTGTGTTCGGGGAACTGTTCAAGGAACTCTTCGCGAGAGATAAGTGGCAGTTTCATATATTTGTGGCTGTACAGGTATCAGCTTTGAACGCAAACTTTCGCATAGGGACATACTCGTAGTTCTCGGCAGCAGAAATCTCAGAACGCAGCGACTGCTCCTCATACTTGAGATTGTGAAGGCCCAGAATCAACGCATCATTCACAGCCCTGTCATCGGATGTCATCGCCTTCTCCTCGCGCACTTTTAATACGCTTTGGCGGTAGAGAGTTTTGACAATTGACAGTTGCGCGCGAATGTACTTCTCCCTCTTCTGAATCTCTTGCGTAGCTTTCTTCTCCTGATCGATATCTTCGCGCGAACCCGACTTCCGGTTCTTTGGGTGAGCAAGCTGGTAGTCTACAAGCTCGTTGATGAGCTTCTTGAGGTTCTGCACTTCTTTATGGAGGCGCGCATTGTGCGGCGTCTTGAGGAGATCGGTGACGTTGAAGGAAGAAAGATCGGCAGGCATCGCGTCTTCGGATCGCGCAACGGGAAGCTGCTGTTCGCTCATATTGAAAAACCTTTGCGGGTTGTGGCCGTTACTGTTGTCGTGCCGTCGTTCGCGGTCATCGCGAACAACGGCACTAGCCATGCCTTGGCATAGCAGTCACATGATGTCGTGTTTCTTTGGCGTCCGCTGTCACTCAGGCACCAGAGCTGCCGTCTTCCATCTCCACAACCAGGCTGAACTCTCGGTAGATTTCACAGCACGTCCAATAAATTGCTTAAGATCTTGATCGCGCCACATCTGATCGATCCAGGTAAGCGACGCGCAAGACCAGATGAGATGTGTACCAGATCCTGGCCCTTTTGGTCCCATAGCGCGCCACATATGTCCTCGCCTATCGCCTTGAAGCATCTTGAAGGGATGTCTACATTGAGCAAACCGCGCATTAGATCGATCGTTCTCAACGCACTGGTCATATGTTCATCCAGTGCAAGTGCCAGCACTGAGCATGTCACGCACACACACACACAGACCGTGGCTGTGAGGCTCGAGGGTCGTCCTGCCTCAGCTCAGGTAACCCGGTATCGGGGACTGTGATATATTCTACTACCTGCATATTGTGCGTTTCGAAGCTATGGACCGAAGTACAGGGATATACACAAGTTTTCCAAGCTGGGCACCACTGCAAGGAGGCCGTTTGGTGGAGTGGAGAGCGACAGGCCTCGTATCTCGGGTTCCGGTACCGATGCTGTCGTTACCTTTCAAAGCACTCGCCAAGCGCAAAGACTCCGTGCTTCCGAGTCCAAGCTGACTCGTCTTCTATCGTCATGCCAGACCCTTCCTCAGAACTCCATCTTCGACATTGCACAGCTGTGCCACTCCATGACACGCTTGTTCTTCCTTTTACCCCGTGAGCGACGAGATTCGTCACAGATACTTTGCCACCAAAGTTCATGTCCCTTGGAAAGCGACCCGAGCCCGCACATCGGCCAAATCAATATAGATCCGACGAAGTCCCATTCAGCTAGCAGAAACGGCGATGTGCTCAAGAACGGCCCAGAATTTCTGCCTTCGCAGGTTCTGGCGCACACTATCTATAGCGCGGACCACGGTAAAGCGTTAGCGCCATACTAGGCTGCCTAGGATCTGAGCCCGAGATGAGAAATTGCGGAGGATTTGCATGACCACAGGCGCCCAAGGTTTGCTTTTCCATGAAGATCATTGCAACGTTCAGACTTTGGGCCACGGCCAACGTCTCATTTCAGACGGCCTGAAACGTCGAGAGACACCCGGCTGGGGCATACACGACTCACTGTGAGCTTCTTTATCAGCAAGCTGCCGGGTACCTTCTTCCTCGGCAAGAGCACGCAACGTGCTTGGCTGGAGACCCGGGACTAGTGAGCCAATCTTTGCCCTTTGGCATCTTGCATGGCCGCAAAACCTAGTTTGGGACCAATTATATCGGACATCCATGAAAGACATCTTGACGGCTTCGACACGTTCATGGGCTGGCTAGGCCTTCCGCTACCCTCGCGGACGAAGAATCTCAGGCCCACACTTGGATTATTCAAATTTTAAGACCTTGTCATTTGTCGAAACGGATTTTTGAGTATAGCGGAGATATGTCCGATGAGGTCAGGCCTCGCTGTGGCTGTTGGTGGCACCGACCATAGATCGATTCTGTGCAGCACAGCTAGCGATACGATTTCGCAACCAGGGGTAGACGAAATTTCAACGAACCTTCGGCGACCCTTCTGGCAATCCCTAGAGCATCGAAGCGCCTCTTCACGGGGCGAGGAGCTTTAAGTTTCTGGAACGTCACCACACTCTAACGAAACGGCGTATTCTTTACTCAATTGTTGTACGTCGGGCCGTGCGGCGCGAAGACACTTTGCGTGCGTATACTGCATGCAAGATCATCACGAGTAGAGCTAGACCACGCGGAAGGACACGACTGACGGACCCTAGATGGGGATTACCAGTGTGTGGCTGGTGAGCAAATGCTCATTTGCTTTTCCCGTTACGTTCGGCGCCTTGTTCATGCAACCACGACTACACCCATGCGCAGTTCGTTTGCGGGATTGAATATCGGCGGGATATCTCAAATAACTTGCATCAAGCGGCTATGCAAGCTACTGAGTTCTGCGTCGTTTACTATCATAAGTTCTCGAGATGCTATCTTGTATGGCAGTCATAAAGTAGTTGGAGGGGTTTCAGCTCCTCGCATGACCAACGCCTAGTTCATACATGCATGCAAGCAGCACGAGGCAGCCGTCTAGGTGTGGGCTAGAGTTCCGAGAAGATCAGCCCGCACAATGCTCGGCTATTAGTAGTGTGGCATGCAGCTGTGCCAGCAGGCACAATCTGCAGGCTGCAGTCACAACTATCAGCTAGAAGGGAGTTGCCGGCAACGGAAAATGACGTTCACTGGTGCTACAGTTTGCTAAACTATATGGTGCTCGACATGTTCCCGAATATGGGCTGCGGCCCACAGCACCGACCGTATGTTTTCCCCTTATGCACGCGCATTTTCACGTGGAATGGCAGGCGTCATCTAGGATAACCCTAGGACAACCTAGGGCGTTGCCATACAAATCTTGGCACTAACCCCGGCGAAGGCGATAACCTAAACCTTATTCCGGGCCTTTAGAGCCTCCGCTACAAACTTAGGGCTATGACACGACGCGATTCGCCCTGGCCGCGCCTTCTTGACTCGATGCTCATGCGGGCTAGAGCAGGCGGACGGCCTGGCTTACCACGGTATTTGCAGTGGGCCAGAGATAGTTCTTAGTCAGGGCCCTCGAGTGCACTGTAAAGAAGCCTCATTGACCCGCTTGCTCGTCTCTTTGATTTCCCCAGCATTCGTTCATTTTTACCATCTTCGTTATGGCTCCAGCAAAAGAGACGTCGGTTGATCTGTGCAAGCGGGTCAATGCACAGGGAAACACCATTGCCATCCGCATGCTCGAATATCTGAGCACTGCAAAGGCACCTATTCATGGCTTCGAGCCACTCGCCAGAGAGTTCATTGAGCTCTGCCAAGTATTATGGTCCATCGAAGCTGGAGTTACGGAAGCGTCCAAGACACGGAGTGGATTCCCAGTCGAGGTATCTCAAGAACTTGACAGGAGGGTCCGTCAGGTTAATGAAGAGTTCTCTGTTCTAGCCCAAATGGTTAACAAATGTAAGTTTGTCTGATTCCTGAGTTCTTCATTTCTGAACTTGAATCTTCAAACAATTACGGTGAATTATTGCTGACGGCATTAGTTGTCGACAAAGAGAACCACAAAGGCGGATTCGGTATGAAGTTCCGAATGATGTTCGCCGATACAGACGTTGAAAAGATGCGCCACACACTTTCACGGAGCCGTGACTCCCTCAAAGTCAGCTCTGCCATGTTCAGGTGGACACTTGGCGATGCACGAGCTGATGCCTCCATGGGTATTGGATACGCCGGACTGATTGCTGCATTGGAGCGATTGAACCCAAGCAAAGCCTCCAGCCTTCCGCCTCTACACCCAGCGCCGACATCTGATCTTCCACCAACACCTCCAACGAAGGCTCCAAGCCATCATGGAGATCACCCACTCTTGCCACCTTCACATGCTTCGCACCGTATGGACAGACCCTCCCTGAACGAACTTCGCCATGAGGAGGGCCACTCATATGACAGTCACAGTTCACATTTCAGACATGAGGACACTGGTCTATCAGCCGGAATTGTAGATCTACACAAAAACTGGCGCGCGCCAGCCAGTGCGCGTTCAAGCGAATCAACAAGGGATACGATGTACCATCAGAATATTCGGCATGAGGATCCTGTGTACGAGGACTATGCTTCGCACTCCAGCACTCGGTCACCCACAATGGAAGAAAAACTACATGGTCTCAGCGTCAGCGAGCGCTATATGGACGACCATCACTCTTCGTCTAAAGTCGACTCTGCCATCACATCGCCGCACTGGGCACCTCGCCAGAGTGGAGGCTCAAAGAATGTTGGTGGTAAGGCAGCACTATTCAATGCTGTTGAGCAGAGGAGACATCGCATGCTAGAGCAGCTTCTAGACGGTGGAGCTAAGGCCGAACCTCACATGGAGTCCGCGATGCTTCGCGTCGCTGCACAGAATCAGGACGCGGAAAGTATCATGCTACTTCTTCGATATGGCGCAGATGCTAACGGTTTCGACCGTGAGGGTATTACTCCCTTGTTTGCGACAACTCGTTCTCAGTGCCTTGAAAGCGCGAAGATGCTCCTCAAGCACGGCGCAGATCCTAATCTGTCTGCCGGCCCTGATTCCGAGTCACCTCTATCACTGGCTGTGTCTCAGAATGCTACTGAATTCGTCCAGCTATACCTCGCCAACGGTGGCGATCCTGGTTTCGTCATGGAGAACGGTTCTACAGCACTCGTCTCAGCTATGAACAAGACTACCTCGCCCAAGTGTGTCGAGATCCTCTTGAGCAAGGACGGTGATGCCAATGCGAAGAATGGAGAAGGCACAACTGCTTTGTTCCAGGCTATCCAGGCGAACCGTGTAGATCTCATGACGGTGTTGCTCGACCACGGAGCGAATCCCAACCTTCCGGGTCCTAAGCATCCACTCTGGCCATCCACTTACAAGCCCAAGTGTCTTCAGTTGCTGCTATCTCGCGGTGCTGACACCAAGAAGACACCCGGTGTCATGGAATTGGCTTCTAGTTTGAAGAAGCTGGACTCCATCAAGATCCTCATGGAAGCTGGTGTATCTCCTAACGTCCGGAAAGATGGCGTCTACACACCACTTTGCTCGGCCATTCGTGACAACAGCCCCGAGATTGTCACGTATCTGCTAGAGCATGGTGCAGACCCAAACTTCAACGCAGCGGAATACCCAGCTTTCAAGACTATTACACACAAGCGCACACATTTCCTACCGCAACTGGTTGCAGCTGGTGCAGACCTTAACAAGCCTAAAGGTATCATCGAAACCGCTGTCAAGTTCAACGACAAGGACGCGATGATCTACCTGCTCGACCAAGGCGTCAACCCCAACGATCGAACACCGGACGGATGCACACCGCTCACCACTGCTATCAACGACGACCATGGCGAGCTCGTCGATATCCTCCTTTCTCGTGGCGCGGACCCAGCTATCCGTGGAAAAGACTGGCCTCTGTGCATGGCCGTCAAGCGTCCCGCCATCCTCAAGAAGCTCCTGGCTGCAACTCCCAATCCGCGCGCTTTCCGCGGTGTCGTCGAGATGGCTGTCGTAGCCAACCAACTTGAAAGCATCAAGCTCCTCCTTGCAGCAGGCGTCAGCGTCGAAGACAAGAACTGTGGTGTCTTCTCTCCACTCACCACAGCCATTCGCGAGGAGCGTAAGGTCATTGTCCGCTACCTCCTCGATGTAGCCAATGCCGACCCCAACGCCCCCGGCGAGCATCTTCCGATTGTCAAGGCCCTTCGTCGCTACTCCGGCGACACAGAAATCATTCAGATGCTGCTTACACGTGGCGCTGATATCAACAAGATGCACCGCGGCTGGAACGCGATTTTGCAAGCTGTCGAGAATGGAGACGCCGAGATCCTCAAGCTTCTCATCGACATGGGTGGCCCTCCTGACCTCCAATTGCAGGACGAAGCCGGCCGGGCCGTCATCGACATTGTTACCGAGAGGGGCTGGGAAGAGGGCCTTGCACTTCTTTTTCCGAATGCAACCACCCCTCCCAAGGCCAATGTGTCAAAGGCCAGGTAGTAGGTAATCCACCACTGCTTTCTTCTCTTGTTACTTTGCGGCAAGCAGAGTGCTGACTGGCCGCAATAGTAACAAGAAGAGTTTTTCTATCTCAGACTGGCGCTGGATGAGCATAGAACTTGAGAAAGGCGAGATGAAGAGTAGTGATGACGAGGATGAAGTTCCAGACGACTGTAGTCAAGCTTCAAGTGAGCTACTGCATGTATGATTGGAAGTTCATTCCAACTGATCGCGTTTCATTTGTCGGTAATGGAAGTAATGTTGGCTGGGACGTTTGGTCTGCTTGTGCATTTTTGCCACGGAGTTCTCGGTATACCACCTGTTGTTTAGCATTTCCTCTCTTCTGTTACTCATGACACTGGGAGGACTTGGAGCGCGCGTTCAACTACCTAATCGGTAGCATCTTTTTCATTTGTTTTGACCGAGACGTTATTCCTATATGTCATTCCTTCAATACACGAATACACATACAATCAAACTTGATCTCCGTCTTCCCCAATCTTCACAGACCACCGCACCCATCCGTCACATACCCCTCTTCTCCACACCATCTCATAATAATCAAGCATTCCTCGGTCCGAATACCTCCTCATTCCAGGCGTCCATTCAGGCGTCCCTAGCTCAAACCTATTACCCTGCATCAAGCAACATTACCCTAGTTCGCCACACGTCCATCCGCCTCCACTTTCCAGACTTTCGGGACATACCAAAGCTTACCACTAGCACGAAATGATGGAATTGGAGGCTTGAGTCTACTCGCTTTCGCGCTCGCGACAACGCACACACGCGAAAATGCGTTATCTTAGTGTAGGTCTAGAAATGTAGACAAAACTTAATCGGCGATCGCAATTGCGCCACTGCCGTTGCGGGTCGTGAGAAGTAGATCTTGGTAACTAGAGGGCATACGGCAGGTACGGTTGATGCGCAAAGGCCATTCGGATCTCTTCCGCCTGGAATGTCGGGACGGGAGTAGATTACTTAACATTGTCCGTGTTCTGGAAATGTCCTTTATTTGGCATCTGAATGGAGCTATTTGTTTTGAGCGCTGGCTTGCGCTGGCTAGAAGTCTCCTTCATGTCATAAGGCGAGCAGGTGACAATATTCGTGATCAGTATACCCGAGCAAGAAGGCAGTTGCAAAAGAGGAATAACGCAATCGTAATTCGCTGCACATCACAACACATAGCTTTAACAAGAGATGGTATGCAAAAGTGTAACATCATTAGACTACTCATGATATATGCTGCTGTTGCTGCTGCTACAAACAACGACGCAGGCCTCCAGATCTCCAAGAAAAGAATGTGACATTGCGTGACGAAACCGAAGGGTATAAGAATGGATCGGTTTCCCGTAGAAGCGTGAATGCGGTGAAGTTCGTAAAGTCGTAGACCAGGAAAATTCATCCAACGTATTTTGTATGGCGCGAAGTAGTGAAGGGTGAGCGTGAGCCTGACCGCGAAGGCTCGAACGCGACAAAAGAAAAGGTGTAAAGGACTATCACACAAAGGTTGTGAAAATCGCGTCGAAAGGACATCCTCGAATGGACACTGCAAACGCCCGTAGTGCTCGGTGGCGGACTCGAGAGGGACGCTAAGCCTCTCAATCAACCAAAGCGACCTATACGCTGGGAAGCCAGAAGGAAAGCAAAAATTGTCCCACAAGGCGTGAAGTATACTTCGTCTGGTTATCACTCGAGATGCTAACCGCCTGGCGTTGTTGCAGGAAATCAACTGAATTCTCATTAGCAACATATTCAGCCGGCATGCCCACGCCGGAGCGGCACTCGGAGTACTCACTGTTCTCCTTGACTAATTGCGCAACCTGCCTCACAAAGTTCACACTGTTTGCATCCCCAAAGCCCACCTCTTTTTCCCAGTCGTGATCTGCATCCCGCATGGGATTATGCTTGCGATTGTACTTCCATCGGAATATTTGCTGCACAAAATGCATCCGTTTATCGATCTCACGGCACGCGATATCCGCCTGGCTCTGCGCATCCCTTTGATCTAGGCCCTCTGTGGTAGCCTTGGTAGACATGACAAGATGTATGGTCTTTTGCTGGTCTTCAAGTGCCATGCACATTCCTAACACTGCAATAAATGCCGCAAGCCATTTGTCACAACCTTTGGAAGATTTGAAGATCTGTTGAAGCTTATTGAGAACAGTGGCTTGAATCGAGCGTTGAAGGCGTGAGAAGAAGTATTTGAGTTGCCGGTTGGTCATGCGCGGCGATGTGTAGTTTTCGACGTAGGAGTTGTGGCCGCTGTACGAGTGCATACGCGATAGTGTATCGACTTTCGTTTCCTCGGCGATAGTAAGCGTATGCGACATGATGAATGTTACTACGATGAGGCGGAAGATCTCGCGCAGTAGCTTTGCTTCGTCGTCCGACTTGGGTTTTACGCGCGTCATCAACTTGAAGAGTTTCTGCTGGAAGTCGTTGTCGTCTTCCATCCAACAGAGTTCGCCAAAGGCATCAAGGTGGTGGTCGACGATTTCAGTGATGTATCGGTCGTACTTCTTCTCTTCGTTGTGGTTGATGTGTACCATGCCCAAGGCTGGGCTTTGCTTCTGGATTGCGACTCTTGTGTGCGTGACAGGATCAGTCTTGTATTGGATCTGTACCAGTAGGGCATCTCCACGGGGTATAAACTCGTACACTTTCACTGGTATCCGGGGCATGCTGTCCTGACCACATGTCATCATCACGGTTATTTCGACGCTCCCCCATTGCTGGATGTACTGAGTCACAAAGTGTGTCAAGTTCGCGTCCTCATGCATCTGCGTGACTAGAGAAGGTAGAAAGTACGGCGACAAGTCGATCAGCTTCAGCCGGTTGCATCCAAGGCCACAATCGGCATTCGGTCGCTGTGATCGCTTAAAACAGCGCTCGCATATATCGCCTGGCCCGCATTTATCTCTCTGCAACACGCAGTGCCAGCATGCAACGATCTTGCGCATGTCATGCGCTGCTTTGGCAACAGTTGGCTCGAGATGGGTGCCTAACGCCCTGCCCCCAGACTTCGCCGCTAATGCTTTTTGTGCTGCACTCTGGGACGATTCTGGCTCAGGAGATGCATCAAAGCTTGTCTCTGGCACACCGCTTATGACGGAGTAATCGACTTTGATAGGAGGTTGTTGGGCTTGTTGTATCTGCGACAGTTGTTGCATTTGAGCATATGGTAGAGGCTGATACTGGTCGAACATCATTCCAGGGTCAGAATGCTGGTACGAGGAGTACATGCCGTCGGAACTTCCTGGACTGGGTGCAGAAGGGCTAATCTCTGGCTGGTACGGGGACCTTGGAGGGTAACCTGTTGACGATGCTGTCGACGGTGGGGCAGGGAATTGGTTACTAGTGATGTAACTATCTGTAAAAAGACTAGACGATGCGTTGTAGTTGACGAAGTTCTGCTGGTCAGGTGGTGGTGATGCCCGCGTTAGTTGCATCTCAATCGATTGATGAGTCGGTAGTTGCGTCCGTGGTACATGGTCGTATGAGTGATGAGGATGGTTCTGTCCTTGCGGGAAGTACAGGTCTCCTTGGAACGATGTAGTAGGCTCGCTGGGCGAGATCAAGGAGGAAGGATCCGTGTATTGAGCTGCCCATGAGTCTACATCGATCAAGTAATCTGAATAGTTGATATGGTCGCTCGCAGGGTCGAAAACGACATGACCGGATCGAGGGACCATCGAAGAACGCGAAGGTGCTTGTCCGTTCCAAGGGTCATGACGAGGTGGCTGAGTAGTATAGTTCTGGTTGAACATGTTTGTCTGAGGATGTAGTGGTGAAGTGTGGTGCGAATGTTGAGTTTGCATAGCATACTGTTGCTGATATTGTTGAGCCTCAGCCATTGTAGCGTTGAAGGCCGCTTGTACCGCTGTGAAGGCGTCAGCAGATATGTACGAGCTGGCTCAAGACAACTAACCTTGGTCACTGAGTATCATGCTGGAGTCCACCGCCGGTATAGAGTGATATGAGCTTTGGGTTGACATGGTGTTGCCGTTGTGGTGGTAAGCGGGCGAGAAATCAGTCATTTCCCCCTCAAAGGATGAGCCGTCGGGTGTCCTTACGGATGTAGGAGAAGTCGAAGAACTATCATTCTCCCATTGCATATACTCGGGCGGTTGATCTTGAGGTAGTTCCAGCTGTTGCGATAGATTGCGGCTCGCTAGTGGTGGGGTCGCAAGTGGGCCAGGAGAATGCCCAGTATGGTTGATCAGGGAATCTGTTGGTGTTTTCGACCGTCGGTTATCATATTGACCATATCCAAATGCATGCGGATCGATGAAACCCGGTTGTTCCTGGTACGGGTGGTAGTGCTGCGAGTATGTCGACATGGTGCGCAAGTGGCCGCTGGGGGCCGGATAGATGTTAGGTTCTTCCTAGACCTTGCGCATCAAACGGCTGTGAGAATCCTGTGTGGGTTGATGTCCCAGTGCTCGACACACGGACTGAAGATCGTGAAGACGGGAAGGCAAACGGCTCGTACCCGCGCAGAACAGCGATGCGCAACAGGGAACGACGCGCGGGACAGGTCCGACCAGAATGAGGGACGTCCACCGCGATTCGAGGAGGACGCGCAAGAAGAATCTGTCTCAGAGCAGCTGATTGTCAGAAGTTCAGATGGCGATTAGTCTGGCGGCATTCGAGCCCATCTTACGCTGCCCCGCGAGGACCGGTGAAGGACGACCGGCAAATGCAAGCTATTGGCTTAGCTGCATGCATCCGCACAGCTTTTAGATCGCACCAAACCGCAACCAACGTTCGTGCTGCCTCCGCGCTGCGCTGCAAATCACCGACTGTTTGAAACTGAAATAGAATCGCGAAAGTGGCTGGTCACGTCCGATTTTGCGCTTTTGAGTCGCGATTTTCGCTCGTTCTGTGAGCCGAATTCTGAAACACATGAGGTTGTCCCCAGCCGCCTCGACGTGCCTCAGGCATAGGTTTATGCAATGCACTGCACAGCCTGCGCCTTGTTCGCTAAACCATACCTCATCAAATTCAGCCTTGGTGGAACGAATGAAGGTCGTACTGAAGGTGATGGCTGGTCGAGCAACTGCGAATTACGACCTAGTGCGGCTCTGCAGTGCTCACCGGTTGGCAAGCTGCCAGCTCATGCTGCGGGGGATGACATATGTACAGGAACCCAGTCCAATTGTTTTACTCCGGTAATATGTCATACCATTGTTTCTATCCGGATGCGCGCATCGATGGGATGTGAACGCTCTGTGTAAGATGGCCTGTCGACTGCCAGCGCACACTGGTGGAAGGTAAGGTAAGCCGAACTACGAAGCGGCTGCCGCGCATGATGTATTGCTCGACGTGGTTGACTCGTATATCCGGACAAAAACCTAGAGATGCGAATGTTGGGGTTCTCACAATCTTGCAATGAAAGAAGATGCACCAGAAGTGCCATGGATATATGTAGGCCTGTCGCTTTGCGTGGGCTCGTAGACCTATCTGAGAGGGCACTCGAGATCACATACTCCAATCGGGTCTATGCCCAAACGAGCCTAGAGAGTGGGTAGTACCGATGCGGAACATGATCTTCGCATGACCGGCTTCTACCACGAGACAACAATTAGCGTCAAAAGTGGACTGCGCCACAGGAAACCCTAACAATATCGTCATTTTACAACTGGACCTTATAGAATCCCTGTAGGCAGGGGGAAGATGCAACACATACTTCATAACGTGAGAGCAACCGGGCCGCGATCGGCGTCACATTCAATTATTGCCTCACGTATGCCCCACGATTATCGATGAGATGCTAGTGAGTGTCTTCAGAGAGCTAACTCGCATCGCACGCTGCGACATCCTGGAGGCAGGAACACGACTGGTCCTGATCCAATGGATGAGAGAGCAGATGGCACAGATGTGGAGATTGGTGGTTCGGAACCGCCTTTCGCTACGGAGTACCACGACTTGGAGCAAACATGAAGGCACTCTGCCCTTGTGGACTGCCATACTAGGAGCCGTGCAATACTACCAAAACAATTCCTGTCTAGCTACCACGAGGCTGTGCATATCTGAGCAACTCCGTGCCCTTCATCAATCGATCATGGCATCCTGTTTCCAAGCACACACATACCTCATTACCTTCGTCGACGGCATTGTCCTTGACATCCGCCCTGCTTGGGTATACAAAAACATAGCCTTCGAACTGGGGATCCGGAAACCGGATGGCTTTCGCAACACCAAAACCGAAATCGTGTTTTTGGTATACATTCATGCCTTGCCAGCTCGTGCCCGCCAAGTCCATACCCAGGAACGAGCTCATGTTAATGCTTATCCATCGTCTATCGTCTAGTCCTGCGATCCACTCAGGTAGCTCAGCGACGTACTGTGGAGTGATGGTCTTGATCGAGTTTCGCACTCTTTGCGCAATTTCCGGAAGATTATTTTCGGTGATGAGTTCGGAAATCTTTATTGGCTCCGTGCGGGGAAGCGCGACTGCATTGCCCATCATTGTCGCTTGCAAAGGCGGGTCCAGTATCTTTCGTGTATTTACCGCGTGTACCAGTATGACCTCCTTGGCAAGGTCAGGGTGCAGAAGGTCGAGCTTGGATCGTGTGATTCTCTTCCAGAGAATCGACATTATTGCATCGTAGGTCGAGATCCAACTTTCTCCTGTCTTCGCCATCGCTTGAGATTTGAGTTGCTCCATCTTACTCTTAGGGAAATGCCACATCCGGGTAGCCAATTTTGGCATCTTGAAATCAGCCGGTGGTGGTGGAGGGGTTCCACCGCCATCCTTGAGCACAGGAAACTTGCGGTCAAGTTCTTTCCACCGCGCAGCTTCCGGTTTCTTCGCACTAAGACGCGATCGATCCATTGTACCATGGAGAACTACTTCGAAGGCAGTCCATTGATCACTGCTTTGGAGTTCCTCGCCCAAGTAGTGAGAAACCCTGGGCCATCAGAACAATTATGGTGGATAGCAATACCAAGTACAAGACCGCCTTTGATGAAGTTGATCTGGAATGTCGATACAATGAGATCGTCTTTTTGATTATCCCCAAGAGGCGAGAATAGCTGTTTCTCTGTCACCGCTTTTGGCAAGACCAAGTGCCCTTTGAAAGTTGCGGCGGGAAAATCGGTTCTATCCAGCTCATCGAACGACGGGAAAGTCTCTTCCAAGTCCTGCACGAACAGACTAGCCTCACCATCCTTCTTTTTCGTCACCCACAATCGACCGTTCTCCGCATCCATCTTCAAGCCGCCGGCAAGGATGGGGAACTGATTCAAGGTAAATTCCAGACCCTTGGCCATGCTGTCCACAATCTCAGCCTTGTCCACGGATTGTGTGAGCCTAAATATCTCTACTATCTGGACATAGATCTTCGGCATCGTGTGATCCATATCAGAGAGAGCGAACCGCTCTTCTGCGGGAGCGTTCTCCCAGCCTGCTGGGCGGATTCGAATTTCTTTCGTAGACATGGTAACTTGCTGAGATGAGACTGAATTGGGGCTGGGCAGCTACAGACCTTGCAACAAATGAGAGGTAAATGAGTTTTACTTAAAAATCCAACCGCCAGGAACGAAGGATTTCACCAGACCACTATGTCAAGACCTCAACGCTGCATGCACTGCATTGTCGAGGTCATCAATTGTGCAGCGTTGGTAGGGCACTACGTCGGTGCGAGTTCCTACACTCGGCAAAGCACTATTACTGACTCGCTCGCCATGCCTTTGCATCGAATGGGAACCGCGTGCTGAATTTAAGCGCAGCAAGTGGGAACGGCTGCGAGACGAGCTTGATCCAAAGCGAGCTTCATCGGGTGCAGACTTCCTCAACGTCCAGCCCCGGGTTTTGTGAGATATCATGCCGCGCTACCAATTGACTTCAGGCTGGTCATATTTCCTCCGATTACTTATTCTGTAACAAAAGGCTTGAACATGAGTCGGTTTCACACCAACGCCATGGAAATAATGTCGGGTGTCACCACGCCTCTACGTCACATACTGTTACATAGACTAAGCGCCATTGCATACGTCACACGACAGGATAGCGTCTTTGAGGTCGTGATAACCAGGTGTCGCATCATCACTGCGATATGTTGGGCTCGAAAGATGAGGCAACGGGCGTCAGTAAGGTTATGTCTTATAGCCAACCACGCGGGATTGGATTGGTCCTTTTCAGCTGGGTGCGGCTCTACTCTAGTCTGTCTCAGTATATAGACTTAACGCTTGATCCAGTCATCGCTTCCAGTTTGCGGAGGAGCTCATAAGTTCTAAATCTTGCTATAGGTATGATATTCCGTGGATGCATTCGTCGCATTTGACGAGAAGAAAAGCAGAAAACGGAAGTCGCCAGTGCATTTGGGTTGAGTCGTGCTGTCGTGTTTTGTAGTTCTGGAAGAAGTGAGCTGTGGCCTGACTTTTCCGCTGAGCCACCATGTTTCTGCAAGCAAGCCCTCCCAATAACCCGGCGGACAGCAATCTTACCACACCGATCACTACAAACATAAATCGCTTGCGTATTGCTCATTTCAATGTACTACCGTACCGAGTGTTTGCTCTATGAATCTTAGTTTCGCATCTGAAAATCACAAAACAGCCTTTTGTCAACGACTTATATCAAACACGAAAGCTGGAGGCCTGCATTGGTTTGTGCTTCGCTATTCTGCTAAGACGAAAATATGCCAACACCTCCAGGACATGTTGTGAGTATGAAGACTTAGGAAATTGGAACTTCGTTGATTCAGTCCGATGCTCCGTGTGACGGGCTTTTACTCCGCGTCGAGCTCCATTGGGAAGGGATCGGCAGATCGTTGCTTAGGCGTCCTCTCCTCGATATCATAAGCCAATGGCAAAGAAGTTGATAGCCGCTAGTGCCCCACCACCTAAACCTGGCACAGCCCTCATTTTGCTTTTACAATGAAAGCTGCTGCCGGAATAATCTATCGAACTCCATGAACGTACGTTCAATGTTAAGTGATACGTCAGTTTTGTGTGCGAAGTAGGCTTCTCCACACTGTCACTTACAACACCCGAATGTCCGGAGAATCAGCCGTTATGCTGCGGAGGAACGGGAAGCTAAGGTTAGTCATTCCGACTGTCGCAATTGAGATGAGATGCGTTGTGGATGGGAACTAATGCTTCACTCACAGGTCATGCGAACCATGTCGCATTTCGAAAATCAAGTGCGACCATGCCACACCAACGTGCTCAAAGTGTCAAGCACGTGGGATGACAGAGCATTGCTTCTACCATCCAAACCCCATGACTAAGCCTGCTGGTACTCCACGCAAGAAGCCAGAACCACGTCGTCGGAGATTAGATGGGCATGCTTCATCGTCCAGCCAGGGGAGGCTGACGCCCCTGACACTGAGTCCACCAACATTGAGGAACGATGCTGGATTCGTCCCTTGGCCTACCCCTCCAGAATCTGCTACGAGAACAACACAAAGCGGACCCGACCCATCGAGGAACTTCTTTTTGGGTTCCACGAGTTATGCTGCTGTCTTCACAGAAGAGCAACCCTTGCCAGAGACAGTGCATGAACAGCCATCTGAGAGACTGAGTATAACTCCTTCGGCGTCGAGTAGAGCTATGGGACATCGACACTGCCAATTTTCGCTTGGAGACACAATAGTGTCTACTCTCCAACCCTTCTCGTTTTTTGAAAGGTCTCTTGATATGTACTTTGCTATGCACAAGGACCCTGCTCTCGTTGGTCCACTTTTCCTCTCTGCAATACCACAGCTGCGTAAAGACGTAGAACAGCTCCACGCTGCTGGTAGTCAGGCATATCCTCTATACGCGGAAATTACAAGGAACTCCGCTCGACCCATGAAAATCCCTTCGGATATGCGGCCATCGGAGTTCCACACGCTCTTCACAGGGAAGAACTTGAGATGGGACACGTTAGGCTTGATCCTGGCGATTGCCGGCTCTAATGCCCAATACACATCACCCAATGATCCTCTGTTCACGCTAGAAGACGGCAAGCAAATGAACAGAGAGGAATTCATTGAAGACGTGATGCACGCAACCAACACATGTATCAACATCTGCGAAACACATGGCGCCGTGAATGAGCTCATGACATGTCTCATCTACATCAACATGATGGTAGTTAGTAGTTTCTACGGAGATAACCGTGCGTCGATCTATATTCTTGAGAGCTGCATCACAACGGCTGACACGTCTAGATCATGCCACATGGAGGCGTATGGGCGACAGTGTTTCTGCTCTCTACGCCGCAGGCATACATTGCGAAGCCTGTAATGGAGATGGTTCCAACGCAGAACCGTTCTTTATGCGCGAGTTCAGAAGACGACTCTACGCAGCCATATATCGCTCCGACAAAGCCCTAGCTGTGTTCTATGGACGACCTCCAATGATGGGTTGGAGGTATAGTGACCGCAAGATGTTATTGGACATTAGCGATCAGGCTGTGACTTCAGAAGATCCGGACGTACTGAATGCTGAGCTTTCGAAGCTAGACAGCGCAGGCTGGAACACAGAAGGGCATCTTCACCCTGCGACCTTCGGTAGAATGAGGTGTCAACTTGCTGTTTTCAAGGAGAGGCTGCTAGAGCAAACTTTGGCAGGTGAGAAGGATAGTGATGTGGTGCAGAACGTAGAGTACGTCCAACCCTTGAAACTTTCTCTACATTCGACTAACACTATCAGAGCGATATCTGCTGAATGTACAGCATGGTGGAACGCATTACCAACGCATCTGAGATACGACACCTACACGGAAGAGGCTGCCTGGGTAGGGCGTGGTCCTGGTCTAGCTATGCGACTAACTGCTTACTATCTGGACTACTTGCACGTCCATTTCCAAACGCAGCGTCTACTTCACCGGATCACGCAACAGGCGCTCCCAGCACTATTGGAGGTGTCGCTAAAAATACTCGTTACATCCCTTATATGTACCAAACCGCAAAATAGCGATTACGAAATTCGTCGCCACTTCCCCACTGTTATATTATTTTACTGCTCCCCCGCCGCCGGTGTCCTAGCACTAGAGCTTCGAAGATGCACGATTGAAGGCGTGCCATTGCCTGATACAATTAGTCGAGCAGAGGTCATCCGAAATCTTTCCGTGCTAACTTCGTGTCTTGAATGGATAGTTCTTCCCGGCGACGGAAATCACAAACTGTGCAGTGAGCTCAACAAGATGCTTGCACTGGTGCTCGAGGAAGTTCTCAATTACGTGCCTCCAACGAATGGCGAGCAAGAACGAGGTGATGATGCTGCAGCTATGACTGGAGCGGGGCAGGGCTTCTTCGACATGCCCATGATTGAGGGTTTGGAACCTATACCAACTGAGAGTGAGGACTTTCTAAATTGGCTGGACAATGCAACGTGGAACAATGCGGTAAGACAAACAAGTGTAAACAGATTCAGGGCCTGCTAACTTTACCAGGACATATTCTAAGCGGGTCAAGGATACCACTTTGACCAGGAACTAGAAACGCGGTACATAATACAGAACGCCAGGCGCCTAAATATACGCGAAGCTGGATTCGATACTGAAAAAGCCTTCGATGGCTTCTTCGATGCTCCAGACGTATGCTATAAGCACACGCAATGCCCGAAGCGTGGAACTTGACAACCATTATCTCGATAACCCCGATAACATCTCTCTCTCTCTCTCTCCAATACCAACAGCTGCTCTAAAGGCCAGAGAAGTACGCCGCTCGTGCTGCAGCTCTCGCCTCGTTTTCTTCCGTCTCCTTCCGCGTTTGGTTACTTGATTGCGACGTCGCTTCAGATGCTGCTGTCAGCGTTGACTGGCTTTTCCAAGTCTAGTAGGGTGTGTCAACGTACAATTCAGGTTCAACATTTTCTTGAGGATACTCTTTGATGTTGACTTCGTCGAAAACATGGAGTTCGCATCGGATGATGTGTATGGTGGTGGTGCAGTGGTGGAGTAGCGTGGCAGATCGGTAGGAGAGGTCTTGTTAGAGGGAGAAGACATTGTGGTGATGGACGTTCTGAGGTGATCTTGTAATTGGGTGATGTTTTGATGGTACTTTAAATTGATGGAAAGAATTGAGGCAGTTGTGCTACGGCGATGCTCTGCTTCTGCTCTCTTGTAGCTGGTTTGACTCCTCTATCAATGTCCCACAAACCATCTTATATACAAAATCATCACATCACCACCGATCAAGCAACATACCCTGCTTAGGCTCATCATTGCCCTTTTCCTGCCTCGTGCATTGTCGGAATGGAGATTGACCGCTCATAATCCAGTGTGAACCACGAATTCCATTCCAGAAAATATCTCTGCATGGTTCGGAGTTGCTAATCGACGGTCGTAGTAAGCGGATGCACACTCATCATGGTATCATGCCTAGGCAGCAACGTTAGGCGCCCAATGCCGAAGCCACAGCCCTACAAGCATTGCATGCAGGAGGCACAATATACGCGTCAAGCTTATTTTCAAAGGCTAAATGTTTGCTCCAGACGCGAAAATCGTTTCGTTGTTCATTGCATGTGCCGACGTGGCTGGATGAACATGATGTATAATGTTCGGAATTGAAGATCTATGCCGGTGAAGATTAAACCTAAAGAGGGGTAAGTGTTCATGCTTACCATTATGCCGATATGAAGGGCGCTAGCTAGACGCATGGATGCTATGAAGGGCGTCTGTTGCGAGATGAGACAGGTTTGCGCATGCAGATGCTCGACCTTATTCCGAGTGTGTAGGAAATGTGATGGGGGTGTGGAAGGGCGCTGTTGTTACCGTCCAGTCCTAGTTCCGACCCCATGGTCTAGAACAAACAACAGACAATACAAGTAATGGAGATTATGCAGTCGTCATTTCCAGAGATACCTAAGTATTTACATGAAGCTTAATAGGTCTACCGTCCGCTGCCATCAAGCTGATCAGACGCACTGTGAATAATAGTCACCTCCAGCCTTGCAGGTAAGTCCTGAAGCACCTATGAATCGTCAGTACAAGCCTGTTCTCGCACACCCGAGTTAGGCAGACTTACAGGTTTTGCATCCACTGTATCCATTTCCGCCGCACTGGCCGTACTTTGCAACTGAGCATGCTCCAGCACCACCTCCACTCGTTGGCACAGCGGCAGCAGATGTGGCTACTGTAGATGTCTTCATCGTGGTTGCTGTAGATGTGGCAACTGGGGCTCCACCAGTAGCAGTCACAGCGGATCCAGCGGATCCAGCAACGGCTTCAGTACCGCCTGCGATGACTGCCGGACCGGGGGCGACATACGATGCGAGGTTCTGGTAGATGTTGATCTGGATGCCAGGGTCGGTAGCTTTGTATGCTCCGGGGAAAGCCACACCAGCAGGCGAAGACGAACCACCACCAGTCACAGTGATTTGGTAGCAGGTAATGTAGAATTGAGCGCCGCCAGCACCAGATGCAGCATGCAACGCAATGGCTTCCGCTCTTAGCAGATAGTCTCCTGGGGCCAGATCTGTGGGAATCTTCACGTCCATCTTTCCGCAGTTTTTATTCAGGTCCTTCGTACCCCAATAATCGTCCGAGCCGCCGCCGCCAGCAGTGTTCTTCGCCCATGTATCCTGGAAGACTTTGAAGAACGGAGTGGAGCCATCAGCTGTGGATGCATCTGCGACTTTGGACATATAGACAAGCACAGGGCCGTAGTGGGCACCACCAATGGCCTCGTTCGCGCAAGATCGGTCGCCATTCTGCTGATGCATCTCTACAGTTACAGTGCCACCAGCAGGGACACTGCATTTTGAGGCTGCTGGTCCGTGGTTGGCGTTGCAACGGATGTCGTTACTTGCTACCGATGTAACGGGGCTGTTGCTATTGGGAAGCCTGGCACAAGTCGACTGGTGAATGGGTGTCAGTGGCATCGTATTATGGGTTGGGTATGCTTATCTGATCTTTGCCGTTGACCCAAAGGTCTTGGAATGTCGCATGAGACGCTACCTGTGTTGCAAAGGCAACAACGCTGGTCAAGATGATCGCGCTCTTCATCGTTGAAATTATCGACAGTAGTCGGTTGACTGAAGAAAGACAATGGTCGATTCTTACTGGGCTGGCATCGAAATGGTCTCGTACCTACCACCTCTTTATACTTGTTTCTCGATTCTTCAAAGGCTGGACATCATGCTCGCTTGCAGACGAAGTCCAGCCCGTGGATCAGATCTGTGCTGCTAAACCCAGAACGTACATCTGTAGAGTATGGCACCGTCGTCTGACTTAAGATTATATGAAAGTAAAGCTTGTCGTTGCCGAAACCCAGGTTCTGTTTTCCACGTGTAACGTCCTATGGCTAGGGTGGATATTAACCAGACCGCGGAACCTGGTCACTTGTTGGTGACCACATGGCAGCCTGGCCATAGATTCGCTCTAGAGGTATGCCTTTGTGTGTGCCGTGCAGGGCTGCTTGTATATAATGCGTGCACTAGGAACCACCGGATAAAGCTCACATCGGCTTGATCGGGTGCAAACCTTCTAGAAAAACTGAGGAACTCGTTGTTGCACCTCTGTGAGCTGCAACGAGGACCTGTCTAATCTTATCTACGTAGCTGTACTTGTTGACGACGAGCGGCGACAGGAGGCGCGCAATTTTAGAATCTCAATCTGCTGAGAAAGCGTGCACTGTCAATGAGCCTTCCTGGGTATTGTGACCCAGTGCCATCGGGCGACTCGACCAGGTCTTGGGGCGAAGAGTTATCGAAAGCAATATGTTTAAATGAGATTCGGGAAGCGACATGTGCCGCGTGTGCGCCTTCCCCAGATTTGGTCTCTCGGCGAGAAAGCTTGTTTCCTGCATCTCCTAGCACAGCATCGGGAGAATGCAGGCCCTTGGGTTTAGATGAATGAACCATGCGAGAAGTCGCATAGCTCAACCGATGGGTCGGCATGCACGGAGGTGTTGGCCGGTGACGTTGTCGGGGCGGGCTAGCGCGTCAAGGCAGGGGCGCACATGCCGCACAAGAACTTCCCGCCGTTCCTTCACCAACTTCAGTCTGTCACGACGGCCTTTCATGGCGCTCAAGACAGATATTCTCATTACAAAAATCATCTCTAGCTCTTAGACTTCACGTTTGATACCCGCACTGCCGTTCACAGTCCTGGTCATTGACTCAGGCCTTAATAACCAACACAAGGGTAGCAGAGTGTTATCATCCATCAACTCTTTGTCCCCCTGGATTGACGCCGTATCAATTACTAAGCATACCGTCAACCGAAACATAAGTCTTTCAAACAACTGCGACGAAGCCGGCTGCGGCATTATTGGGATGTATTTGAAATGCACTCAACAGACAGCGAACCTTTACTTCACACAACGTCAATCGCAGTTCAGTATAAGTTTTGCCATACCGTATGTGTTTTCAGCTATGTTTGAGCTCGCGTATACCAAACGCTTCCATCTATCGAGCTTTCCATATCCCAATCCGTTGACTAGGTCTACTTTGCTTTCCTGGCACGTCAATCTGTTCGAGCAATTCGGCTATCTTTGACACGTCGTTGTTGCAAACTCACATACTCTGTGTGTGCCTAGGTAAGTTCACCGTTACAGCACCAGTCTCTTTTCCCAAGCCACCCGTTTGTCTGATTTTACGCCTCGTCATCCTTCGACCCATCATCTTTCTCACCGTCAGACCTCTCGCTTCTTCCCACAGGCAGCACACACGCAGCCCGTCAACAACCACCAAATTAGCAAACACCCACCCTCACCTTCACCTCCCCCTCCCACTAGTACATTTGTATATCCTTCCCGCTCTCCTTCACATAAACCATGTGATTCTACATCTCCTCTCGCTATATACGCCTTGATTCAGCACAGTTCTCCATCAATGAGGCTGGAATACCCTTGGTCGGCTGGCGACCTGTATCTTTCAGTCTGAATGGGGTCGCTACCCATTCAGACTAGAAGACGCAGGTTCGAGTCGTGATAAAATCGCCTCTGCATCTTCTAAGGTTTAGTCCTGGGTGGCATCTTCGGAGCATTCAAGATTTCACCTTAGGACTTGTAGCGGGGGTTTTCGGCAGGAACTTAATACATTAAGGGTGACTGTTCTTTTTGCTCTTGCTGAGGTCAATTTTTTGGTGCTATCCTGTAGGTTCTTTTTCCTGTAGCCTTACAGTGAAGATTTATGCTAACATAGGAAGAGCGATATAATACTGCCAAGTCTGGGGAGTGGCGTATCCTCAGGATATCTTACTTTGCTTATCAACTCTTTGCATAGGCAACATCTATTACATGAAACATAAGTAGTGCGACCTTTTTTTGTAAGAAGATTACAAGAGCATTAGCAGGGGTGAAGAGAGATCTGTAGAGATATCACAAATAGGACTGGCGTCACAACATCTACAAACTCACTTAGAAAATAGCACAGAGCTTGTTATCACGCTAAAGGCCTCTGATGCAAAGTGTTAGAAGAAACGAAACGTAGATTCGTTGGCTGTTCAAGTGTCGGGAGGTGTCACACAGGCAGCGCTTCGACTGCATCCAAACGAGCGCACGCAGATAAGATGAAAGTACAGAGAGGATACAGAGTTTGTCTGGCATGAACCATGCAAAGGCTTGATTCTTACTATTCAGTAGCATTTCATTGTGCTATTCATACATCTGCTCGGTGTCTTGAAATCATCATATTCGTGAAGATACCCCACCCTCGATCTGCCTACCACACCTTCCTAGTCCCGCTTGAGCGGGGTGAAGGTCTCGGCTATGCCCTCCTGCGTGATGATCATCATCTGAAGACCATCACCAACCTCGATATGCCTCTCGACCGCGCTTGTAAAGGCGTCCCGTACCAGATCCTCGACGTGGTCCCGTGGTAGCGGTTGTGCTTGCTTTGACTTGAGTTCGTGACCAGTACCGCTGCCTGGCTCGTACATGTTCTTGAAGTTGACTTGGTTGTCCAAGAAGGGCATGATAAGTGATGCGGCAGCACCGGCCGCCCTACACTGCTCCCTCTCGTAGCTGCCGACCGGGTCGTAGGAGTACAACGCACCCTTGCCCTCCTCGTCCAGACCGGCTAAGATGGCGTGTACGTAGTAGGGAAAGAATCGCTTGTTGTAGAGGATGTGGCTGAGTCGTTGTGCGCAGGCAGAGACGGTCATGGGCTTTCCGTGCTGGTACTTGTACATCTTGACAATGGTGTCGAGACGCTCCTTCAACGCATCACCGTCTGCGGCGAAGCCGACTACAGACAGTACTATCCGGGCGCCCTTATTGTCTGGTCCTTCGCCGCCAATCTTAAAGAGCTTGGGTGCGTATCGTGTGTTGATGTTGTAGCCGGATGTCGAACGTGTGTCACCTGCGAGGATGGCGAAGTCGGCGCCGGAGATGCCTAGTGTCGATCCGCCGTTGTCGGTGTAGCTGGATCTTGTTAGGTTTTCATGTACTCAGTATGAAAGCTGCACATACGGGTAGAAACCATGTTGCCGCTCGCCTGATGGGACAGTTCTGGGGGTCTGGTTGAACGAATAGCCTGGGCCACCTTGCGGGGGTGCACCGGTGTAGAGTGCAGCCATTGTTGAGTTGTGCAGACGTGGATTCGAAGTAGGCTGTAGGAAGTCTTGTCGATATCGGAGCGTTGTGGGTTATGGCGGCGGATCTGTTTGTTGGTGTTGAAGCTCTGGAGTTACGCAGCTCGAATGCCTGGAGCTTCCACGCGCTAATGTCTTGGCGCTGATGTAGTGAGAGCATACCCTCCAGACCGCGTTGAAGCATACGCATAATTGATTTCTGTCCATGCTTTGTAATCTACTAACTAGACCTCAAACGTGATATGGGAGCTGTAACCAGCTTTACTGTGCCATTGCGCTACTGAGCTCTGCTGCTAATGTACAATCGTCTCCATCACCTTCTTTCTCTAGACCTCGACCGCCTTCTCTTTGGAGATCTCGACCCGCTCTCCAACTTGCTCCTTGAACTCTGATCATCCTTTCCTCTGTGTTCCAACTCCTTGCGTTTTCCCGTGGTAGAGCTCGACGCGTTCTTAGACGCGGAGACGAACTCGAGAGCTTCTCTTGGTGCCTTGGATCTTTCCTGCTCTCTGGTCTTCGAAATCCGCTTCTGTGAGGCTTTCAGTTCCTCGACGTAGGCCCACTCTGGAAAGATTGCCGGTATGGCGACATCTTCTGGTAGTGTGGATGTATATGAGTCTTGTTCGCTGATCCCCGCAAAGTCCATCAACTTCTGCATATGCCCCGGATCGCGTAGCACTGACGAGGTTTCTAGGCGCTGGTTGAAGTGTTGTCCCTTCTTTTTAAGTTCGAGGAACTGCGCAAACTTCTTCGTCGCCCTCTGAGGTGGTGATCCAGGCGGAGAAGGTGGTATGTCGAAATTGGGTACGGTGGGTAAAGTAAGGTTCTGGATTAGAGCGCGTGTGTTGGCGTACGTTGAGCCTGGCGCGGCGTCGTTCGAGGGGACATCTTCCTCTGGAGGTGGCGAAACGGTCGGGCCTTGGGCGGGACCTTGAGCAGGACCATTCACTGAACCTGAGGAGGTAGGCGGTTGTTCGAGAGGCGCGGGAGCGGAAAGAGGTTCTGGAGCCGGCGCAACTGCTGCAGAAATGTTGGTCAACTCTATATTAGTAGCCACAAGAGCCCTTGGTGTACGTTTGTGAGTCTCACCTCTGGCTGAGTCGCGGGCACGACGTCCTCCTCGTCACTATCTGGGTAGTCGATTCCGAGCATTTTGGTTGCGCAATGCTTGCAGACGATCATCTCGGATTGACCTCAGTATGCGGAAGCTTGGGCCAACTCGCTGTCTTGGCGGGTGAGCTGCGCAACCACCGACTGCCTGGGAACATCGTAACAACAACCTCACCTTTGAGCTCACTACAACATATCACCCTCTCTGATCCCTGAACAAACCCCTCCCCCTAAA